CGCTTGCTGTTCTGCAGGCAAGAAACAAACACTTGACTGTTGGCTTTCACAGGCTACCCTAGCAATTGTGGGGCCTGGGCAAGGGTTCCCCGTCACCTACAGCCTGATGGCCAAGCCATGGCAGAAAAGGCAGGGAGCCATTTGGATTCACCTGTCCTGCAGGGCATGGCTTTGAGTACCCTGTTGAAAGCAGCAGGCAGTTATCAGCAGATGCTGGTGTCAGCTAGGCAGAGCACTGTTATGACAATCATTCTTTAAATAGTGTTTTGAGTAGCTATCCCATACTAAATAATAAAAATATACCATAATATGAACAGTCAAACTCATTAACTTGGCTGCTTGTTGCTGCTGCTCTAATTTCACCTTTAGGTACCCAGATTTCTAAAAGGAAAGCAAAGTAAATTTAAGCTTACTTCTATTCAAGAAATTAAGTTTACCCTTTCCTTGCAGCAATCACCCATTTCTAAAATAACATGCTTCTCTTATAACACAGTGTCTTAGTCCTTACATAATTTTTACATCAATCTGTTTGCTAATTGCTATAGTGTGTTTTTAAATTGTAGTTTTTATTACCACAGGAATCAGCATAGGTGATATTTTAAGTCATATTCTCTTAAATTCCTTCCTCATATGAAAACATCTTAAGTATTTTTCTTTTCTGAGGAAAAACGGACTAGCCTAGGAAATGAAATGAGTTTAGGTCCATCCTTGTGAAAATCACATCAAATTAGTGTGACTGATTTTTACTTTCATACTGTATTTCACAATCATACTTCAGAATTATTTTTATGAGTTAAATTTCTACAATTAAAAGCTGTCTTTGGTGTCTTTTCATTTGCACATTACACATTTAGAAATACAGAGGTTTGTCTGAAGTAGGTTTTCCTCTTTTCAATCATAGTTTTGTTTCTCCAATTTCATAAAGGTAAAAGAAGAAAAACTATTACAGCATACACAGATGCAATCTTTTGTGGTTATTTGATTTTTTAAAAATTTTGGTTTCCAACTGATGATCATGAAACCAAAGGATTTTGGTAGCTTACTTTATGCCAAAGCAGTTTTTACATAATAATTATGTAATCAGAAAAAAAATAAGGTGGTTGTTTTTGTGAGTTTTTTTTTTTCTCATTCCAGGAAATAAAAGAAACTGAAAGCAATTTCCACGCTCTACAAGTAGAAGCATCAAAAGAAAATATCCGGCATGTAGTATCAGGCTTCAGAGAGACGTATTTGACACTTTGAGTAGATCCAATACAATTTATTATTGTGTTTCAATTTAGGTAGAAGAGCATCTGTGTACTACTCAAATGAAGGATGTTAAAAAATTCACCCGTGCAAGACAACAATGAATGGCTCTTTTCCATTCATTGCTCTGCATGAAAGGCTTTTCTCTAGCTTAAACTTCACTGCAGATAGCACAATGCTATTTTTGTTTAATTTTCTCAATCTCATACTTGGTAAATCACTTAATTAATTATTTTCCAATCCAAATATGAACTGCAAGCATTCACATAAAGAAATTGGAAAAAAAGGTAATGCTTAGCTAGTCCATATCTCTTCTTTCAAAATTTCATTATTGTAAAATAAGACAAAACAAAAGGAGGAAAACAATAATCCACCATAATATTTTTTTAAAACAACATAATCATAGAAACAAAAATTTAGTTTGCCTCCATCCTGTTTTCACATTTTTCCCCTAGGAATGGTAACATATCACTAATAAAAAAACTACTTTTTCCTTCAGTAGGGGAAAAAGTTGTTATCTGTATGGCTTTAAGAGAAGAAAGAACAATATTTTTTAAGTCCTTAGAAGTGACTAAGAAGTCATGAATACTTCACCAAGAACATTAAAAACATAAACTACTACTGACTGCAACCATTACTTTCAAATGCAACAGTAATTAAAACATACTGTTAAAATATACTATACATCACCATCAAATTCTCTAATACAAAAAGCATGAAGCAAGAATTTTAATCGGGAAATAGGAAAATAAGTATCTCTTCTCTAATTTTCTTCATACTCCGCAAATAATTACCTATATACAAGCATTTAAATACTTCTTAGTGAGTTAGTTTCTTCTGAATTAGCACTTACCTTTCTCTTCCACATATTAGACACTTCCTCACATTAGACACTTCAAGTAGCCTTCAGACACCAACTGAGGTTTTCATCCAACACACAATCTGATAAAGCTTGTTCCCCAGCTAAAGGAAACAGCAATACAAGGCAGTGACAACAAAATCCCATGTATTAAATTGATAATTGGGTTTGGTTGGCTGCTTTTTGGATTTTTGGCAGATGAGGAAATTTGGAGAGAATTAAGAGATGAATCAAAACTGCTTGACACAACGTTTTTACTGTAGTTGTGCTGAAATCCTTGTGTCACCTTATGATCAAGGACTTGTGAGTTGATCTGCCCTTATTTATGTATCAAGTAAGGAAATGATTAGCATTCATGATGTCACTGCTTGAATTTTCAGTAGCAGTCTGGAAAGGAAGCACACCCAAAACATTTTCCATATTCATGGTAACTTGCTGTGAATGTCTATTGCCACCTAGAGTGTCAAAGTTATAACTGTAGGCATGGAAGTAATTGAGCCAGCCCAGGCATATTAGTTATTATTAAATGCTCCTTTGAGCACAAGTTCTGCTGCAGAAAACCGTGAGTCTGTGCAGTTTAACCCCTCTTCCCACAGTCAAGGTCAGAGGCTTTCACAAAAAAATACATTAATTTCCCTAAATGAATCTACTGTTCTGGTTAGAACATGCTGGCAGATGCTAGATACTAATTATCTTTATTTCACCTGGTAACATATACATTTGCACACTTTTATCTTCTTTATGAAGGATCCCTTATATTTTCCAAGTTCCTACATACAAGCATGCTTTTTTAATATCCACTAAATTCCTGGCCAACAGGAAAAAAATCAACCAGCAACTGTCAAAACAGTGAGAAACCTATTACATTTAGTTGATACCATATTCAAATTACTGCAAGGTTGCTGTGCTGAAGAGAGAGCTATGCTGAAAATATTCTTGTCATTGGTCTGCTGGCCAACTATACCTGCACTCACAAGGTGAGTCACTCCGTGATCACCCACCTTCCATCCCCCGCTTTTTTTCCCTTTCTACCACAGTCCACTTACCCAAAACACATTCACTTATGCAGCCTGTTTTCCACAGTAGTTCTTCACTTTCCTGATCTGGACTGAGCTTTAATCTCCTCCCAGAGGCTTATCTATCTTAGGAACCATAAACATAATGCAGGCCTTCAATAAACACAAATCAGGCCTTTAGTTTAGAATAATGCAAAAGATTTATTAAACGTTCATCATGCTACTTTGATGTTTAAATCTGCTTTGAAACCTATTTAACTGCATGTCTGACTTACTGTTATTCCCGTATCTTTACTGTGCAACTTGCTGATGCAGCCCCTGATCAAGCTGGGTGGTGTCTAGATGTGGTTACCCGTAACAAGTTCTTAAGCTTGTGACACTGGCCTTTCCTTTTAGAAATATTTTAGAGAATACAAACTCCCAGTTAACTATAGAAAATACAATTTTTTTTTTATTCTAAAATTTAAAACCATATCAAATTAAAACTGTCAGTCAGTATGCAGCTACTGAATTGTCTCAATGTGTCATGGCATTTCTTTATCTTAAAAGACCATTTTCTTTTCACTGGATGTTAATGTATATGCAAATTAAAACTTCTTATGCTTACTATAGTTTATATGCAGCTTTTGAATGAAAGGTCTCTAGAAAAATGGAGTCAGAAGTCAAGACCAGCAATTTAGTAGTTCAGTGTCACATGGCATCTGGAGACACCAGACACTGAGAAATGCAATTTCTTATCATACCTGTTGTCAGCTCTAATGTAAAACTTATGTAATCTGTCATCACTCCCCGTTACTGCTCCAGCCTTTTGTATAACCCAGACTCTCAAGAGTAATTTCAAATAGTTTTCCAAGGCTTTTAAACTTACCTCTATTTGCAAAGAGATGAATGGAAAAAATGAATCAGCCCAGGAAACACTCTAAAAGTAGCCATAACATTCCAGCCCATAACAGAGTCCACAACTGGAACAAACTATGAGGAAAGTGCTTGCCTACAGCACAATTGCAAATGAAGTAAACATATGGCTTACAGCACACTGCAAGCTTAATTTGTTGTAAAGGACTTATTTATCTGGTTATGGGATAGCTCAAACATGTATTTGAAAGGCCATAATAAAACATCTTCTGTTCTATGAAAGGAGTGGAATGAGGATTTTTAATAATAAAATGCAGGCTATTGCTAGGATGTATCTACCATGAGTGAAGCATCCAGCAGATTTTAAATGAGCAGAGTGTGTTGCAAAGATACTAGCCAATAATGTAAAAAGCTGCATCTTGAGAACAGTGGATGGTCTGAAATATTATAAAACTCACCAATACAGGAATGCATGTATTATATAGGGTCAAAACCCCCTAGATCATATAACCAATTCAAACACCTCAATAATTAATAGATCTATTTTTTCCACTAATTTATTTTGGTTACAGTAAACATGAAATAGCAGGTTTATAGCCTTCTTGCCAGAAAAGGAGTTTCTTTTTTAAAAAAAATTCAAAGTACCTCTTAAGACAAGTTGGTATATTTGGACTTAAAAGAAAATGTTAAAACTGTCTGAGAAAAATACATATTGTCCAAATATGTATCCAGCTAATCTGACAGAAGGTAGAAGGATATCCAACGAGGTACTGTGAACTGCCTAAGTCCCTAAGCTACCTCCTTTTTTCAGAAGGTATTCAGAGATCTTAACAAGCTAAATGAATAAGCAACAAATACACATACCTATGCAGCACAAATTCCAGAAAAAGTTTCCAAGTGTTTACAAAGGAAGCTGACAAGCTCACTATTTTAAGCAAAAAAGACCTAGTAAAACAACAAATATACAGAAGCAGCAATCTTATGATATAAAGTCAAGAACTTCACATAGTAATAGTGCCAAAGTCTTCACATACACACAGGCAAAACTTTATTGTCCTTTAACAAACACATTATTAGAAAAAAATAAAATTCAAAAGTTGCCTTTTTCCATAGTGATTACAGAAAAAATATGTTTTCTATCCTTAAAGACACGTTGTATTCCAAAATGTAAGTCCTTCCATACAACTTCAGTCTATTATTAAAGACATCTAATTGTACTTCAATTTGTAAATAAATTGCAAATCACAAACATTAAGTTCATATTTCACAGCAAAAAAACACTATATGAATGAACTTCTGCAAAAACTTTCTGCAAGATTCACAGTCTCTGCAAAAACTACACCTCATTCACTATAGTTTGAAAGAGTGTGTGTGGTCATTTTATATTGCACTAACTTTTCTTGACATATCTGCCCAAACCTGTCATTCAGATCCTATCAACTGGTTCAGAGCAACATCACAAAGACTAAGAATAGCAGTAACTTTAGAATGAACCAAAAACATAAAAAAATGGGTGCCCACTGCTGTCTGTAATGTGAAAAAGAGAAGGTGAAAAAACTTTTTCACAATGAAAATGTGAAACCTTTCAGAACAGCAGCAGCTTTCAGCAGAAAGTAGCCCCTTTTCCTTCCTCTTCTCTGCCACACTTGGTTTTTGGTTTGCATAGAAAAGGGAATGTTTTGTCCGATTTTGATGGACTTTTTTGGTTTAGCTATTATACAGAAAAAAAACCCCAACACATTAGGAATCATAGAGTTTGTGTGCTTTATGAAAAATTCACGTTAAATATTTCAGGTACCACACATTTTTTTCTTCAGGACAGACAAAATAATTCTACATTTCCTTTTGACATGTAATAGATCCCCATTTCCTTTAATTGCATCCCGAAGTTCTAATTTTCTAAATTCTTCTTTTAGTATGCCTCCATGTCTTCAAGTACTCTTGTTAGACACTGCTGGCTCCTCCTTACTGCACACCTTCAGACAGCTTCCTGTTACATACCCAATATCATTTATCCCATCCACTAAGGCAACTCAGATTTGCTTTCAAAGACTGCCACAACAGTCTTTCCAAGACTGCATAAGCATGCTTATTATTCACCCAAGGAACGAAACCCGAATCTCAACGGAAACAAGTTCTCTGGGAACAGATGCACAGCTATGAAACAACTGATCAGGTTTCCATTTCGGTCTCTGCGGTATCAGTCCTTGCAGCAGTTTTAGCACCCGATGGAGTCTCTTCATCTAGGTTCTGAATATCAGACAAATCAATAGCAGGCAGTGGTGCTCTCCAGTACAGGAATGAGTTATATTGACAGAATTCTTCTTCTTCCTTTGAAAAGAGACAAAAATTAACAAAACATTAATGTGTATACCAGCAGCAGAAAATAATAAAAATAAACTTTTTACTTAATAAACTGAAACTAAGAAGAGTTACTCAGCTATTATATATTGACAACTATTTTATAATGATCTTAACTAGATCATTATTTACTTCTGCTTTTTTTAATATGCTTGCAAATAACTGTGCAACAGCTTCTATAATTCCATAAATTTCTTCAGCTTAGGACTTCGGCACAGAAAAAAGGTGTAAAACTTGTGCAATTACTGGACTTTGCATATAAAAACAGCTCACGACTTTTTCTTCTCATAATAGTATACAATTTTCAAGCACATTTAGAGACTGATATTAAAAAGAACGTATTTAGCTACTTAACAGCAACTCAGAGGGATGATACATGCAAGATAAATTAAGCATTTTATAGTATTTAAAAAACATTCTATTTCTTCTTTTTTGTATCCAAATTTTGTATTCAAGAGAGGAAAGCTTAAGAATCACAGAATATTCTAAGATGGAAGGGACCCTCAAGGATCCCTTTGATCCAGTGCAGCTTTTACATGAATGGCCCATATGGGGAGCAAACCCACAACCTCAGCATTATGAGCACAATGCTCCAACCTATCTAACTAGACAGTATCTCAAAAAACCTTGGAGAAACAAACACAACCTCATCTATTAATTTAATATGGCAGCACTTCCATACTATATTGGGTTTGCATTTTTCCTAACATACAATTAGAATTTTTAAATATTTTACTTCACTGTCTCAGCTGTAACAGATGCTGAACAGAAGTAGTTTTAACAAATAAACTGGTGTAATTGTTTCAGTATTCCTGAGATACCAAAGTGCAGCCTGTGGGGGGGTCAAAGCACCACCACAATCCACACTGTGACTAAGTCAACTTCAATGGGTCTCTACAGTGTGGCTCTTGAAAATATTAATTACTTGTTCATTGGCTTTGCAACAGAATAAAAAAAAAAACAGTACTGAGTATCATCCCTACACCTTCTCAAATACTGAAAAATTATGCTTTCCCCACTCCTCCCAAAAGAGAGCACATAAAATCACCATACTTCTCATTTAAAGAATACATTTTTCTATTTGTCACAGACCTCTCCTGAACTACAATCTGCTGTACTAAGCAACATCTTCCTGCTACAAAACCCCTGCATGATTTATAACCTATAATAATTAAGAGAGGACAAAAGGTATAGACATTTCATAGCAGTAAGATGGCTCCTTGCCTATAGAACACTATTAATGTGAATTTCCTTACTGGGGAAGTCTGTCTTCAGAAAATATTGAAGAACAAAAGTTCCCATTAATTGAGACCAAAACCAATTAAATGACACCGTGACACAGGAACAAAAGGATTGACTATACTGAAACTGGAAGAAAGCCAAACTAAAAGTAGTTGCCCATTCTTGTACACTGGAAGTTTGTACTGCACAGCATTAACAACAATTGACAAGTGTGGAAAGGATGATTTTCCCATCTGTATTGCAACACAGGCAGCATCACTCACACTGAACTGTGCAGGGCAGGTGGCTAACAAATTCTCTGAAAAAAATCTCAGGCAGTGAGTTTCAGAAACTGTCAGCTACTTTTACAAATTCTCCCCTGCATTATTTGAACTCCCCTGGCATTTTGGTAAAGTATTTTTTTTAAAAAAACCTGAGAGCTAAATACTTAAAATCAGAACCCTGATGCTTCGTATGCATAAAGTGAATGACTGCACCCTTGTTTCAAAATTATTAAGTGTAAGAGCTCATAAACACATACTCAATTTTGGACTGCACGCATAATTACACTCAAAAGCTTTCATGTTTGCAGATCAGCAATACTGCAGTGTGAAGAAAAAAAAAAAAAAAAAAAAAAAAAAAAAAGACAAGCACAAACAATTGTAACTAGAAGGCAAAATAAAACACCAAATATTCACTGTCAACTAAGTAAGTTTCCATATAGGTTTTGAGTAGAAATTCAATCAAGGCAGGCAACAAGGTAGGCAAGCTCAGAGATACAAAAGCTCAGTTTCTATAGACAAAGTTGCATAATATTTAAGGAGTTAAGTTTTCCAACTCTAGCTGCAAAAGGGTACTTGGAACTAAAATAATCTTTCTTCTCTGGCCAACTGCAATATGATGCTTTAACAAAAACACTGTGAAATTAACACTACCCTGATCATACTTATGAATGTAATGAAATACACAAGCCAAAAACAGCTTGTGTAAAGCTGTAAAGAATACAGCTAAAGAATGTAAAGAATACCAACCTAGAGATCGTATTTTCAGAAAGGTGTATAAATCATCATCAGAAATATCATTATAAATTATTTAAAATATACAGGTGGGACACACAAAAACAAGAAGAAATATCTCTAGCCTGAAGTGTTAATCAAGCTTTATTTTAAAACTAAAACATCTTTTATACAAAACTGTGCTGAGAGAAACAACCTGTTAAAAACACACACCTAGAAAAATACTTTATATAGAGATCTAATCTGTAATGTGTGGAAATTCAAGGGGCTTGTGGCCTTCCGATCACTGCTAAAGCTTACAAAATTATGCCAAGTAACACCAAGAGCAAGTATAACTGTGATAGGAGTCAGACTGTTCTGTAGAGGTTTGTTCAATTTGTTTAATTACTATGCTTATGAATATATGTGTTCCATCTTCAAAAACAAAAGAAATGCTTGTATTTAAAATGGCTGTATAATATTCATACAACATAGAATTTTTTCTGAATTTCGTCCTGCCTTAATTTTACCATCCATCATCAATAAAACCCACTAACAAATCAAACAACCAAGAAAACAGAAAAAGGCAGAGTGTGAAAAATAAAAGCCAGTTTTCTTTACAGATCGTACGTGGGTGTTACACTGTGAGAGGCCTCAAATTATTGAAATTAAAGAGTCTACAACTGCCAATCAAAGCTCATCTAACCTGATCAGACTTTCTGCCACTTCCATATCACCGAGTCTAATTGTCTGGTCTTTCAAGATCCAGGTGGGAGGAAAAGTTAGTTTAACATGTACCAAAGTTCTGTGTTTGAAATGTGTGAAATCTGATCACGGTCTGCTTTGATTGTGCGGGACTTTGGGTTTCATTTTTTAATTACAACTTTCTTCGTATGTACCAAATTTTGTTTCATGAACTACTGTGTAAAATGCAGTCAAGGCCAAGAAGAAAAACAAATATATTGTTCAAAGTTAACGAGAAAAGTCGTTCCGATATACTCTAATCATTATGACACTGACGCCCTTCCTCAGACCACCGCCTCCACTAAATGTTGTGGTTAAAAGACAGCTCTGGCATTGCTACTGAATGTCACAACACGAAGGCTGACGCTGTAGTGAGCCTAACCCTCACCCTCCCACAACAGAGGCGACACCAGAGTAACCTCTGCAAGCTTCCACCGCACTGCGGGACGGGGATGAAGCTGAGCATAACCTCAGGTAAGGCGGACAAGCTGTTTCATGGCACGGAGCGCGGAAGGAACCGGTAAAGCTGGATGATACTTCTCCTGCCTCGAGGAAGACAAAAGCAGAAGGAGCTTTAAGATGCCCGCGGGCAGGAGGCGCAGACGGGGCTGGGCGGCACTGAGCGCAGCGCCGTGCCGGGCGAAAGCCCGCCAGCACCCCCGGCGGACACCCACGTCCTGCAGACACGCTTCATCCGCTACCGGCACCGCTCCCCACTTCCCTCCCCGCGGACGAGAGACGCGGGCCCGTCCCGCACAGCTACCTCGGCGGCGGCGGCGGCCCGCTCTTTTCCCCGGCGGCCTGCGCGTCCCTCCGCCGCCGGCGCGTCCTGGGGCGCCCCAGTTCCGCCGCGCCGCCGCCGCCCGCCGCCCGCCTCCCCAGGCATGCGCGGCCGGCGCGTTCTGCAGCGCGCATGCGCGCCACGCTCGGCGGCGACGCCGCGGGACGGGGCTGCCCGCCGCACTGCCTGACGGGAGGAGCGGGCGGGAAGCGCCTTCACAGCCAGCCCCTCATCCCACTGGAAAGGGAGAAGCGGGGAGCGCCCTCACAGCCAGCCCCTCACCCCGCTGGAAAGGGAGAAGCGGGGAGCGCCCTCACAGCCAGCCCCTCACCCCGCTGGGAAGGGAGGAGCGGGGAGCACCCCCAGAGCCAAACCCTCACCTGGCCATGAAGGATGGAACCAAACACGCGAGACATCAAACCTTACAGAAAGCTTTAATATCCAAAAACTCCAGTCCACTACACACGCTGAAAATTGTGGGAAGTGCACACAGAGACATGAAACTTCCCGTTCTTACCATCCTGGCAACCAGTTTTAGAATATAACACATTAAAAAAAATACAGGACGTTTTACATTTATCAAACTCCATACAAAGAAATTTTACACTGAAGATTATGCAGCATTTTATTTTACGTTTGTTACCATGTATAGTTTAATAGTGACACTGATGAACACCTTGAGCATTTCCCCCTGAATAAAACTAAATAAAACAATGATCAAAGTCTGTAATACACAATTACCCCTGTGCATTACAGTACAAGTTGCAAATTCTAAGAACTCATAAATGGGACTGAAGATAAAACACTAACAGCTCATTCACAAGATTATTTTGCTTCCAACTCTTTATGTGATTGTTGCAATTTAAAAGCAGAATGCTCTGGAAAAAGAAAAAACCCAGCATTTTCTATGTCAGAAATAAAAAGCACATCATTGTATTATACCATATGTAAAAATATTTTCAGAGAACATACAAAAATGGCACCTGTGACAACATGGAGTGGTAATGAAAAAAACCACCAGCACACAGGATACTGACACTCAAACATAAATAAAGAGTTCCACTGCTTTTTTTTTTTAAAAAAAAAACAGAACAGCACATTTCATGTTACAGACTGTGTAAGGGGCAGTAACTTGGTAGTATTACAGACAGATATGCTAGTCAGAATCTGCTTAACTGACATTCAGCTAACCTCTGTCCTATTTCAAGAAGCTTGAAAATCAACTAAATTACTAATCATATTCTACCTAAGAGAAGAAAAGTGTAATGAAAGCAAAGAATCAAAAAAGACAAATTTTCTCAAAAATTAAGTGGTACAATGTGGAAATGAAAGCATGTGGTTTTTTACTTTTAGCCACACAAAGACTTGTATTTTTAAATTATTTGTTGAATAGCAGCATTTAATCTTTAAACACATCTCCCTTGGAACAGGGTAGAACTTTGACAGTTCATGCACTTTTAGAAATAAGAGGGTTCAAAGAAGAGTAGCTTAAGCCAAACGTAAAAACTTCTGTTCTGTAGAGAAAAAGCCTCTGTTCTCAATCAGGATTCTGAGCTGAAAGGAACACAATACCGAAACATATACAAGCATGCGCTCTCTTACGCAGTGTTAAAAATATTTTTTTTAAAACTTTGTTTTCCTTCCTTGCAGATTTTCAATTTAGAAATAAAGGCACAAATTTCTGGCCTTGACTGGAAAAACTGAAAAACCAGGAACAGATCCTATTAAAGAGATGTGATTAGGACACCACCATGAAAGACAGGACAAAAAATAATCAGAAACAAACAACAAACTGACCAGTGTCCTTTTAGCCAAAGAAGAAAGAAAAAATTCAGCCCTCATCATAATGGTTTTTTATTTTAAACATATTTTTGAAAATGCATCCAAATGGCACTTAAGGTAATCAATATATTACACAAACAGAATGCCTAACATGACACCTCATCTCAGAGTAGTGACTGTTAATTAAGGTTTTTATAATTTCTTACATAACTTCAAAATGACATGAGATTGTATGTGACATGACAGCCTCTTGTATAGTACCATGACTTGTAGATTAAATATTCACCTAAGCCACATCTGTTAGGGAAAAAAGCCACATTAATAGGGGGAACCAAGAAGCCACAAGGGTAAAGTGAAGTTACAAGGAAATTATCTACTATTTGGCCTGCATATCCTGGCTCAGATGGAAGTAATTAGGTTATAGCACATATTTACATGTAACTTCACTGCTCTGACAGGTTTTTTTATGTTGTACTACCTACATGTGGCATGGATAACTCAGCTATGTTTATCAAGTTTAAAAGTTCTGGCTTAAACACTAAGAAGATGATGCAAAATCAGTGTTATTTCAAGAAGGCAAAGCATTTAACACATTTCAGTTCCAACACTAAGATCAATCAGGACCGGTGCTTTCCTCAACGGAGTGTAACATACTGCTGCTCTGTGACAGTCTGCTTCTCTCTGATAGTCTGCTTTTTCTTCACTCTGTATTCTGCTTTCAATGTAGCATTTCTAATTTCCTATGGTTCTGGTTTTTGATTAAACCTTTAACAGTAGTACAGCCAAAGACCAGAATTTGTATAATATCCTATTTTACTTCAGTTGCACAGGAAATGCTCTAACAGTTCTGATGACTAATTTACCTGTTCAAGAATAATTTTACCACTTTCCAACCATTTCAGACTTCATAATTTAAGTATACATTTACAAATACTTCTCTAAAAGTGATACAGCTAGTACAGTAAGCACTTCCATGCATTCCCCTAACATCATCAAGTAGGAAAAAAAACCACTATAAATCTATGAAAAATGAGGCAGCATTAGCAGAGAATTAGCCTAGTTATGGCGAACATTAAATTTTGTTCTCAAGAAAACACTTTTGCTTTTATATTTAATGCATTCCTAAGCACAAAGACAGTGCATACGAACATTTAATCTTTCACAAGTGTATTACAAATATCCATGGTATAGTATATGTCTGAATAGCAATAGAGATATTAAGAAAATAGACACTATCTATATCCTCTTAGGAACAAGAAGGCACCACTGATTTGAGGTTGTGTCCATACATCACCAGATGATTTTACTCTCATTTCTAGCTTTCAAGCGAATATTATTGTCTCATTATCCTATTCAAACCACTACTATTCTGGTTTTCTCACCACAAACAACACACATTCATAGTAGTATTTCATCATGGAGAGTTCATTCACAGTGTAAGTTGACAGTACAGATTCTTTCTCCACCTGAAAACAAAGCAGTAGTTTTCAAGACAGCTTCTGCACAGCAACTATACAAGAAAATATTATATTGTTATTAGATTATGAGGCTCATCTATGCACTTCTTATAAAATGAGAAAATCAGGTAAGATACATAATACACCTAGAAGTCATTAATATATGCCATTATATTGAATGAAATTCATGGTGGTTTAATCAAAGCAGTTTGTCTGATTCATAACAGTACTGCTTATTGCAAACAACACCATCTTCTTACCTCTATATGGAATCCATATTGCAGGATAACATTTTTTATATCCTCGTAGCTTAATTCTATGGAGAGTTCATTTCCCAAGTTTTCAAAATGGTAAAGGAGAGGACCTGAAGTACAAAAACACAACAGAAATGGCTACCAAAAAGACAAAATATGTGTTAGAAGTCAAAAGTACAGACTGGTAGTGCAACAAACACTTATATCCAGATTCACATGTCCAAAAATATGGAAGGTTTCCTGCCCAGGGAGGGTTGGAACTAGATCATATTTAAGATCCCTTCCAAGGCAAACCATTCTATGATTCTATAAATACTGACAAAAGAACATATTGCTGTTACTTGAATGATTCTTATAATGAATATCAATGAAAAATAAAAACTACTCTAGTTCTTATTCAACAGTTTGCAACATTTCCCACCAGATTTTGGTTTTTGTATCTTAAAATTTCTTCACTCAAGCATCACTGTTGTCTCTATAGCTCAGAATATTTACGTCTGCCTAGGAGCTCTGCTAGCATTCTGGCTGAGAGCGATCAACTGACCAGTGACTGACCAGTTTCTACTATGCATAATGTTTAATGCCTGTGTCTTGTCTAACATTCTTTCAACACAGGAGACTCCAATCAAATTGAATTCCCAAAACTTCTGCTTCAATGCAGAGTATCAATTAGATATTGCAAAAAAAACCCCAAAAAAGCAAGGATGTATTTTGAAGTTCCGTTTTCTTAGAAAAATAGCAAAGAGCACCACAGAATACAATATTTGTCAAAAACAAGCATTTGATGCATGAATGCAAAACCTGCTGCTGGTAAGATTTACTTGCCTACTTAAAAATCACAGTGCTGACTTGATTGCAAATAGCAAACATCTGATAACTTCTGAGATCATTTCCAAGCCCTGTATTTTTCTAGCCGTACAGTTTGCTGCATAGACAATTACTTGCACGCACTTCTCAAGTATACTATCAAAAATAAGTCAAAAAGAGCAGCTGGTCACACTTGCCTACATTTATCCATATTCCTCCAGGCTTAAGAATTTTCCATATAGTATCAATATAATCAATAACATTATGTGCAGTATCTATGAAAAAGCAAGTTGCTACGCAGTCCCACGTATCTGCATGAAAAGAGCAAAGTATACAGAGATTAGTTTCAACGCTTTTAACCCTATAAAAGTTCATCATTTAACCCTGGTATTTGTTCATACCCTCAGAATCACCAACTAACAGCAACTGAAGGCTCTTTATTTTCTTTGCAAGTAAGTATTTTGGCTTACATTAAAAACTGTGAACTTTGGGCCTGTAGTATATGTACACACACTACAATTTTACATATACCTACTACTTCTTCACTTAACAAAACTGTCCATACATTATATAAAACTATACATACTATATACTGTAAAATGTAAATTTTGTAACACATTATATACAAATGAAGCCCCAAGTGTGCTATTACTCACCCGTCCTATAAATTTCATTATAACTGTTAAAAATACAACTGCAAAAATCCCCAATCATTTTAAGCCTCCCTAGATAGTATCTAGAACAATATAAGTCTGCACACTAAAGTGTACTTTCAGAAGTCACTTAGCTTTGAAACATTTTACTCAGTATTTTAGTATCTCCCCAGCTGTTTTTAACTAGTCAATTCAACAAGCAGGAATTTTTCAAGTCTACCTTTTAAAGCATAAGTCTCCCTGTTTTTCTCTAAACAGGTATTCTTGAAATAGCAAAAGTTTTAAGTTCTGTAAATAAAAAAATATTAGAAGCCTTAATTCATGCCAGTCTTGGATGTTTTACTGTTAAACATAGAATCTTCAGGAAATTAAGCAGCTGTGGGGAAGGCTCCCGCATGATCTGTTAGACAAGGAGGTGTCCTCATTTTCTATAACTAGGAAGAAAAGCTGATTTGGAGTAAGAAATAGACCTATTGATACAGCTGGAGAAATAGCCTGAGTAAGAGAATCTTGCTACAGCTAGTTCTTTATATTTAAAACTGATAGATACACTTCCATTCCCATTATAATCTGTCCCAAATATTCTGGAAGTCTGTAAAATGACATGGATAGCCTAGAAGTTTGCATTTACTCACTGCACTCAGAATAAATTTCCTGAAAATCCCCTGCTGTCATAGAGAAGTTTGAACCAGAAGGAAGACTGTGAGGATCAACATCTGGGAAATAAATTGGTCGTATCTGATCAGCAGATCTTCTGTTATTGCTAAACTGATGAATCCAGGGATAAAGCTTACATGAATTAATTTGAGAGCATCTGCAAAATATGAAAACCAGCAAAATTTGTTTCAACTAACTGCTTATCTAGAGTCTAGAAATATAAGAGTCAAAGTTCTTGTAAGAGCTCCATATTTGCCAGAAAATCTAGTCTAGTTCACAATACTTTGGACCGCCCATGATAAGAAAGTGATCAAAAACCTAATTTTAATCTGACAAAATCACTACTACAAAGGAATTGCCTTTTCCAGTTTTAGAATTTTCCTTTATGACTTCTTGTAATTTTCTCCAACTTATTTCTCTGCCAAGAAGAAAATACATACACTTATTTTGTAAGATTAATGAAATTTGTAATTTGCTATATTCCATAAAGCTGAGACTTGATGGATCATCTCTCTTCCTATTAAAAAAAAAAAAAAAAAAAAAAAAAAAAAAAACCAAAAAATCAAAAACAACAAACAAACAAAAAGTAACAGTTTCATTATTTCTTTGGAAACGTTTGTTATCATTCTAGACTTTTCTGATTCATAATCATAGGAAGTTTTGAAGCACAGCTAAACAAAAGCATTTTTCAGATGCTAACTGAAAAGACGTTTAAGAATTAAATAATTAAGTACCATTTTGAATAGCACAATAATAGTAATTTTAAGTTTGTAACACCTGGATCTTTGCAATCATGTTAAGTAAAGATGTCTTTGTAAAACAGCTTCTGGACTGACATGACTAACTGAATCAACTCATACTTTAAAAAGTTATGAAACACAGCAATTTTATATAACAGGAAGCTTTTTCCACCATCCTGTAAAATCAGTTTGTAACTAAAAAATGAAAAAAACATTTTCTTTCAAGGACAACAGAAGACATTTCTGTCCCACAAAATACATATCATCAAGCATTTCATAAACTGCAAGCAATCTACTGGGTTATAGAAAGTGCACTCTTTTGGCTGGTGATTAGAATATATTTGTGATAAAGTGTTTGAAATAATATTTTTTACCTTCTCTATGCCATATCTCTATTTCATTTTATCAGTTAAAAACTAAAACTTGAGCAGCAGTATACAGCATTCAACAACTTTCTTCATGTATAAATAAATACCAGACATATGCAGTTGGTTAACAAAAGCAAACCCAGAATGAAACAAAAAAAAAAAAACCCTAACCACTATGACAGCAATTAAAAAAAATTTAGAAAGGAGTTTATTGTTCACATAGACTTTGAAACAACTCCAATTTAATAGAAAATAGCAAATCTCTTTCATATTCAAGTTTGAAAAATTCCACTTCCAGTTTCAACAATTTTTACTTCAAAACCAAATACTCCAGTCCTTGGCAATTCCATTCTTACAACAAAAGATGTGTTATACACATTCTATTATTACAAATATCTAACTTAAGTGTGACACACTTTATTATTTTCTATAGGGTTGGGGTATTCACTGTTCAACATTTAGCTTAAAAAACAGTTTTTGAAAAAATGGGTCAGTCAAATCTCACTTCTTACCACTGGTATACACATAAAAATATAACTTAACTGTTTTCATACTAAGGCACTAATGGACATGCAACAAACACAACTAGTAGTCTCCTTCAAATGTCAAGATTTATCTAAAATTGTATTCTTTCCAAAAAGTAAAGAAAAAAAGCACACAAGGTAAGAACATTAGGCACAGAAGGGAAAGGAAAATGACTGAAGCAGCTTTGGAGCCACTGCAGGTTGACTAGTCTAGGGTCACTTTATTCTCAAATTAGAATTTCCTCAAAAGAATAACAAACTCTAAATAATTTCAAATATTTACAGTGACCACAGTTACGCTGTGACACATACTCTACATACTATACCATGCAACTTTATCCACTGTAACAGAAGTTCACTATTTCAGAGATATGAAAGGTTTTTTTAAAAATGTGTGAAAAATTAGCAAATATCACTTTGCACACAGAAACATTAAGCCAATGTACCACATCTAGGAGCCTACTGTAGTAATGCTTGACATTCAAAACAGTACTTTGTTTCCTAAATATAAACCACCATCAGAGAAAGAAGGTAAAGCTGTAAAACTGTAAGCACAGATGAGCAAAATCCTCATGCTTTTATCAACTAAAAATAAGTATAAATTGAATTGAGATCACAGTTAAAAACTAACTGCAAATTCATTTTTTTCTAACCACTCTTCTTTAGGTATTATCTTCAGCTTATATTGATCACTGCTGTTTCTACCAGTTTCAGAAAAGCAAATGTGCATTTCAGAAGGCTAACCGTAACCAGATACTTCAGAATAAACTGAAAGAATCTTTCAAGTCCCTAAACCTTTATAACAGGAGATTACATCAAGCCCACAATTACATCTGGCAGAAAAAGATGCTTGGACTTAACTAAATTGACTGCTGCTCAGTCATGCTAGCAGTATTCTCTTCCATGCTAACAATATAACTGATAACTTGTCCAGCAATGATACAGATTACAGTAGTTAAAAAACACTCAATTTTCCTGTCCAAAATCGCATACTGTGAGCAAGTTAAATGCATATACACCTCTGCTAAATATTCTTCATGAACACTACATTCCTACATAGGAACACCACGTGAGCATTAGATGCTACAGTTACTACCGTTAGTAAAGCATGAATCTTTAAGATAATTTCACAGGCAAAGACTCTCTATTCAGGGAAGCATGTCATCAGAGGGTAGGGGTGAAGTTAACTAACCTCTGTTAGTTCTGTGACAGTTAGCTCTGTGAGAGCTGAGCAGTGCTCCAAAATATGGGAAATTAATGCTTTTATGTAGATTTGAAATTCCAAAGCCTAAGAGGAATATGGTTTCCCTTTAGTAGCTAAAAGGCATCAGTCAGATCAATTTTAATATATAATTTCACCACCAAATGAGTCACTTGAGAATAATGTAAGAAAAAAAGAACAAATGAACCTCCAGTAAACATCTATTATCATCACACAGAGCACTACTGTTACATGCAGATACTCAGCAGTGTTTTCCCCTTGTTTTTGAACAGTAAGCTGTGTGAGATGCAAGAGCATCATAGTGGGCCATGGATAATCAGTCTGTAAAACAGTCTCCAAAACAATTTGGTAATACAGAAAAAAAGCCAATAGTTTAGGTATTTTCAGCAAAGGTGTGTAATTTCAGACTGGTGAATGAACTGTCAAATTCTGCCTTGGTCAACTTGGACTAACTGCCTCCCCCAATAAAACACCCTCCAGACTTCTTTCAGTACTTGCCCACCTGTAGCTTTCCCACTCTGTTTCTTAAAAGAACAGTTGCATGTGCTGCCTTTTTTCTTCCCTAACAAAGTCATTCGGAAAATAGTAATTCCAATGCAAGTGGCAGAATACCAAATACAGAAACGTAATTTAAAGTAAAACCTGTAACATGAAATTTACTACATTTAAATTTATTATCTAAGCATAATTGTGGAACTATTAACTCTTAGCCTCTTGCTCAGCATGCTTCAATTATTCTTTGTTTTTCTTGTCAAAACAGTGCCTAAAATTTCAGTATGGAAGGTGACACTTCTTTTCTTAAACACATATCCTCTGTTAATAATCACCAACACTAAATAACATGGACATATTTACTAGCCCGTATTCAGTAACAGTAAGTCCATTTTACAGAAACAGATGTGAAATAAATCATAAAACCTAATCAAAATTTTGCAGAAAATCTGTTGTACAATTTAGATTTAAAATCTCACAACTTGAAAGCCATGCTTACTGTAATTTTAATGACTCAGATACAATACTTCCTCCCCCATTTATCCCTAAGACTTTTTTTCCTCAAAGCATTCTAAAGAGTATGTGTGCCTTGTAGTACAACTTATAAATCTATTTTTTGAGATGCATATATTCAGACTTCTCTCATTTATAATTTTGCCTCTCTAGGTTTTATTTAGCAAGTAAAACATAAGCTATATACCTGTTGAGTACAAAGTTAGAAGAAAAGAGCATAAAGAGGCTCCACTCATTTCCTTGGCAAGCATAACCGAGCATAGCTATTTCCCACGCCAATCTACCTAGCCCAGCACCAGGTACCAGGATATTAACTTTGGAGAAATCCCTGCAACAGAACAAAAATAGTAGTTAAGTCTTTATCTGATACCTGATACCCCTTAACACAACTTAAGAGGTTCAGCCAAACATTTTTCCCACCATATACTTAGATACTGTATTATGCTTCCTGTATGACTTCAATTTTAAATTAAACTGAGCCTGCTCTGATCAGATTTTGTACAGTCAAAATAATTCACAGAAATTACTCAAAAGAACATATACAACCTTCATTCAGAATAGAGCATAAATGCTATACATTTCCTTACAAGTTCTACAGTTACCCAGCCAAAAATTTCTCAAGCGAATTGAAGAATATTATCATATAGCACAATGTAATTTTCTTTAACGTCCACTGATAATCAGAAAGCATTCTCGACATATTTTTGTTACCTTGCAAGATAAAATAAAAACACCAAAATCCCAAATATTTTGACATAAGAAATGAAAACATAAAATCTCCACAGCCTGATGAATAATTCAGAAAGTAAAAACCTTAAAGTTCCAGCAATGTTCTTCATATGCTGCTCACTGGTTTCCCCAAAGTACTCTAAGTGACATACTTCCTAAATCAAAGTACATTGCAGCTCTCTAACCATTTATCCGTAACTAGACATCAAGTTGAAGACAACTAGAAAACATTCAGCAGTGTGTTTACTGAAATACTTAAAATCTCTCCCAAGTACAGCAACTAACAAACAGAACTAAGAATCCCAAAAAGGAGACTCGATCCTCTTTGAGGCAGAGAAGGAAATACACACATATTCTGTCACACTTCCACCACAATGCAATCAAACCTTCACTCATAAAACAGAAACCACTCACATGCAAAGTTGAAGATACTTAATCTAAAAGGAAATAGTTTTTCAGTTTCCAGTCATAAACATGACTTCAAGAGTTCATGATTTCATACACCGAGGCATGAATATTCATACACCTCTCGACATTGTTTTGCATATCACCTTCAGATACAAAAAATACATCTACCAATTTATATGCAAGTACATGAAGGAGGCCAGAGCCAGCAGTTCCAAAGGATAAAATGCACCAAAACACAAAGCCTTTGACTACTTAAAAATTCAGAATGCCAAAAAGGGTTCAGAGTAACTATGATGCACAAGCAAGATGATGATTAAAGGAGTTACATAAATTCTAAAAGCTGTACACTACACATTTCTGAACACTATTACCCAAATACCAATAGGAAGTATTATTCTTTTCTAAAGGCCACACAAACTAACAAAGCAGTATTAACTGTGCCTTTTGACTTTTGATTTCATCATCTAGTAGGCAAAGTCTCCAAAATGGAAAATCATCCCATTATTTTCCATTCTATTATACATCCAGGCTCTTTTTCTGACTTAACAAGAAGCTGGAAATCAAGACTTATTATTATTACTTAAGAGCACTCTTGTGAAGCAACAGTTATCATTACCTCTCTTCTACAGGGAAAACCAGAAGCTAGGACAACGTCCTACTGAAAAAAAAAATACTTCAGGAGAAAACTACATGCTCAATATGAAATTTTTGAAAATAGGGAACCACAAGAAGGAAGAAGAAAATGTGCTTCTGATAGAAGCCAAAAAAGCTTTTATCTTACAGCTTTTCGTATTCATGATGACACAACATTATTCCAAATTGATTTTCTAACCTAATCTCCATTTCCTTACAATTTCACTGTATTTATTAAAGACTTAGACTAGCTCTTCACAGATTTTAGCACCCCCATGTGGACACTTCTGTGATAAATGGGATGATAAGTTATAAACCACTTTCAAGATTACAACACGTTGATTAGAAGTCTTTTGTTAAAGCAACCTGGCAGCTAACAGATATGAAGGTATATTTGTATTTTGAGATCTGCACCTTTATGCACCCTGAAACAAGAAAAAACTTCTATCAGTCAAGTGAGCTGATTTTAAATTGCCTGTAGTTGTCTTTCTCTATTCATTCATACAAATATAAAGTTTTTGTACTTTTAAACAATATTCTCTTTTTCTAGTGCAGACTTAATTGCACTTTCACTTGCACCTTTATTAAGGGATTGGAGTCTGGAAATCTGTTAGCAATTTCATTTCTATCATGACTCTTCATATCAGTTGCTGGAGAATGCTCCTGGCCACCAACTTCATTTCAGCAACAGAGCACATCTAATAAAATACAATATAATCAAATCTCAGCCCACTAACATTGACACTAACTTTCCAAGAGCATATTTTTGAATTTATAGACTGACACATTGTGTATGTGGCAAATTTACTGTTGATAGTGTCCCCTCATTAGAAAAAAAAAGTCTAACACTTTTAACAAGATTTGAACTGTTTGTGACAAACTGTTAATGCATTACGTTGAATTTTGAATACTTATAATAGCTAAAAATCTTCAATTGCACAGAAACTGCTTTTTTAATGCCTATAGTCCTTTAAGAGGCTAGAAAAACAGTTTCTCTGATGGTTATGTGATTACATCAATTACAAAGTTAACTAAAAAAAAAAAAAAAACAAAAAAAACCCAACAACTGTGGTAACATAATAACCCAAAGGGATCCAGAAGGAAAACTACCCTCGAACCAGCCAGCAAGGACAGGATTTCCATGACACACATCTAGCAGCCGTTAGGAACATAGTATCCAACAAGTACCCACTGCATACCTGCGGGCCAAGAGGGAAGCAGCACCAACCTATTAATCTGATAGGTGCGGGGAAAGCTGCGGGCCAAGCAGCAGAGAAGAGGGCTGCACAGTACTATTCGCTCAACTACTGAAACTGCAGAAGCCTCCTTAAAAAGACAATGGAGAAATATCAGAAACAAATCTTTCAGGCCCTTTTCACACTACATGTTTCAGTGTGATATATTTTCAGCTTTTAGGAAACTATTGATATTAATGAAGATTTTAACTTTTTTTAAGGTGTCCCTTTTAAAAGGGGGAAACATGATAAAAATGGAGGCTTATTTCATGTCTATTGTGTTGTAAAAAAAAGTAAGGGTGCTGAAAATATAAACATGCTTAGCAAAATAAAATGAGAGTGTCTAATCAAATACAATCCTCATTTTCATAAACAGAGCACTTCAATTTATCAAATGAAGTAATAAATACGTATCTCATACTGAGATGGGCTTCTGATCAGTGGAAATACCAGCACAGGAACATACTGTGGGACTTCTTTCCTAGTGTTTACGAGGTCTGTACATTTAGATAATAAACACAGCCAATTCTCAGTATTCCTATTTCCTTATTTTACTTCAATCATATTGTCAGTGATTTTTTTGAAGACAAATGGTAAACAGCACAATCATTTCAAGAGCAATTCTCTGAACGTAGCAGCTGAGTTTTATATACTTTCATTTAAAGACCTGCAAAGCACTGAGTGATGCAGTAACACTGACAATCCATTTGCTCTTAAATCCAGCATGCAAAGCAAAGTTTAGGCTAAGTACAAAGACCTCCAAGGTCTTTTTATTTGACTTTATGTGAAATACATTTCACATAAAGTCAAATAAAATTCAAATAAAGCAGAAATTTGAACTCCACTATAAATGTGACTAAGCACACTCAAAAAAGTATAGTCAAGCTCAGGTTCAGGACTAATAAACTGTTTTTCATATTAAAAGGAAACTAAGATCTGGCAATTTCTTTTGGGCTGCTCTGTCAGCATCCTGTAAAATACATTTGATAGCCGGACAGCATGACACAGATGAATTTAAATTATAGTTCAATCTAGATGCCTAGTTTATGACAAAACTGGAAAAAATACCTAAGTACATTGGCTTTGACCATGGAACGACAATGAACAAAAAAGTTAATTATTTCAAAGATTTCTTCTGGACAAGAAGCATCTTTACATTGTCTCACCTAAGCAGGAAGAGCAACACTAGAAGTGAAAGGAAACCAAGATGATTGAAAAAAAAGGAGAAGCAAAAGAACATTTATGAGTATGTTTATTTGGATTTTCAACTTAATACTTCCCTATAAAGACACTTCAATATAAACACAGATAAAGAAATAAAAATGTATCTATGTTTTACTATTTTCTCTACAGCAAGTAGGTTCATTCTAATCCAAGAAATCCAAGACATCTAAATAGTACAGAGGTCCTGCGAGCTGAATTCCAACATGAAAAATTCAAGAAATCTATCAGTTGTTCAGGAAGACCTGATCTCATGGGATTTACTTAAAACTGCTTTATTGATTCTGCTGACAGATTCTGTGTTAAGGTGCTAAGCAGAAAGAGGCAGGAACAGCTTTTGCCATTTAACTTACCTTTAGACGACAGCCTAATCAGAACTAGACTGAAACACATGATAATACATGATAAGTAGCACCTACTAAATAACTATTGTGATTTACAGCTGCTTTCAACCATTGCTTGCACTACTTCTACTTGCCAAAGAGCAAGCTTTTCACTGCTTTTCCTGCTATTTATATACCAACTGAAGGCCTACGTGTCAATCTTGCAAACTGCAATGCTATAAGGTGTGCAAGCAGAGTGAAATATACTTCAGTAGTTGCAAAATTTAAACTCCATTTTCACATGATTCCAATGCATGCAATTAATAACATCAACAAACTATCTTAACTAGAAACTGAATGTACCGTTCCATTGAGTATTACAAATTTGATGAGTACTGCAATTCCTTTTGCAAAGTAAAAGGTGGCTGGCACTGACAGTTTCAATTTTAAAATATTTATCATTTTCAACACAAATACATTTTAAAAAAGTAAATTTTTTTCACCCAGTGCAGTTTTTCTCTTGCACTTTCATTTCATTCTTTCAGAAGACTTTAGTGCTCTGCTACAAAAGAAAACTCTAAAGCAGTACAAAGCTGCATTCTGAGGTTCACTTAAAGGCTGCTTTCTTTTACACATTAGAGTCCATGGTCAGCCCTCTCCCACTATAAACAACAGACAGAATAACTCACTGTGGTCAGTTCAAGTCCTGTCAATGCCTTCAAACTGAAAAAACCTGTCCACTCCGAGATCACTGAATCATAGAATACACTGAGCTAGAATAGATCTGTCAGGGTAAGAGTCCAGCTCCTGGCCCTATGCAGGACACTCCAAGAGTCACACCATGTGCCAAAAATCATTGTCCAAACACTTCTGGAACTCAGACAAGCTTGGTGCTGTGACCACCTCTCTGAAGAGCCTGTTCCAGTGCTCAACCACCCTCTGGGTGAAGAATTTTTTCCTGGTATCTAACCTAAACCTCCACTGACTCAGCTGCATGCCATTCCCTCAGGTGCTGTCCCTGGAGACTGAAGAGTTTGTACAAAATTTGTACAAAAACCCCAGATTTAGCAGCTAGCAAACCCTGCCAAGGAAGTTATTTCTTCCACAAGGGTGAAATGGGACTGCCAGTTAAGGTTGATAGTACATGACTGCCTCTTACCTCAAAAAGGAAAGTACACCTAACCAGGAGAGCCTTCTGTCACCAAGAAAAATGAGTGAGTTGACATAGTAGCTTACAATACGTGAACAGAGAAAAGGTTTTACCTAAGTGCTACAACAGCTCCACAATGATAACTTAAGTAATACACATTTCAGAAATTAAAAAAATGCTGTTTGACGAACTCAAACTTGTAGTAGAGACGTTTGATCCATACAGTGATATACTGCGATTTCAGCACAGATAAAATAAAACTCAAATGGTACTTCAGAGCTACCACAATAGGGAGCAATGCTCTGCCACATTAGTTTCGTCAAACAACAACCACGAGAATTCTCTGTGAAGAAGCACAAAGCTGTCAACTTCAGATTCACCCCATCTGTTACCACATGTTGCTTCCTAATATCAACAGAAGGTTTTGAAATACAATTTATTGATGACAAATGTAAAAGTCAAGATTTTCCAGTCTCAGTCATGAATCTCTTAAAATATGACATAAGCTACCTCTGCCATAACCAAAATCCATTAACAGCTAGCAGACAAGAGAAAAAGCTCAATTGCTACTTTGGAGATTAGAATGAGCTTTTGCAAAACTAACTGTGAGTTTTCCTACAGATCTACACATCAGAAGTATACCTGCAGTATTTAATTCATTTTTTATTGTATGTAAGGCACTATTAGCACTAGAAATAATGCAGAAAGTTCACTTGCAGATTAAACATTTTAAAAGGTTTATGTACCTTTAGGTAAGTCAGTTCAAGGCAAAATAGAAACCATCTACACTCCATGTTCTTCCACCACAAACAGTCTTTACTAATGAAACTAAATGATGGCTAGCAGAAGAGACTTTTCAAATTCACATAAGAGCATTATTAATAATTACTGAGAGAGAAAAAACACTGCAATAATAACCTGCTATATCAAACCTGAGAAGTGGCTGCTACATTTATGAATAAAAATTCTCAAATTTTCCCACTGTAAAAGACTACTAAATTTAAACTAAAATGTACTGTAAGATGACTGGGCCGATTAATTGACAGAACAAATAACTATGGAATTCTTACAGCACAATAACCTTCTGAGGCTTTACTAGTATGTTTCCACCTAAATTACCTAAATTACCCTGCATCAATGACGATTTTGGCATTGTTAACAAGTCAATATTTACAAAATGACCCTCTCATGGTGTAACTAAGCTTTAAGAATTGTCTTAGAACAGCTGTCTGAAACCAAGGTTAGAATTTACTATTTTCAGGATTTACTATTTTTTACTAAATTCTTGCAATTAAATGCAACTGCACTAGAGGTTAAGTATTCCTCCTTCTTTCCATAATGAAGAGCAAAAGCCTTACTTCCTGCTGTCAGAGTCCTTCCTTTCACCTGCAGCAGACACACTCTGAGAATCTGCTAACCTGCAAACTAACTTCACTAAGCACAAGTGAGTTAACTTTCTGACGTCTCTTACTTAAGATTTACATATATTGTTATACCCAGCTGCAGAACAACAACAAAAATTCATTACTGGTTTACCTGGTATTACTTTGTGAAGCTTATGATTATACTCTTTTCCAGCATCTTGTATTAGACATAAAAACTTTCTTGATTGAAAAATAAATTCCAATGAGTTCATAAAAAATTCTCTACTTTTGAAACAAAGCTTTTCATTACTCCATAAATTCTGTCTTAGATTTGTGCAACAGTGTAAGTCCACATAAATATAAGCTTTAAGACACTATTACCATCTTTCTTTAGGAAAGTTCTTTATAATTTCACTAATAATTGGCTGGTAGCAGGAATCCCTCTCAGACTTTCCCTCTTCACTCCAGTCTCTCACAAATTGTTTCAATGTGGACTTTAATTTATCCATGTCAAATGTTGAAGCTGGTGTAATCTTCCCACTTCCCTGAAAGTGGAGAGAAAATAAAAAAGTTAGTGGAAAATATACCAAGTATCTGGAGTCTTCAGGGCGGAAAGCAAATTATGAGGAGAAAAAAGGCCATGCTGTAAGAACTGCTGTAAGCATCAGCTGACAAAGCACTTACATGTCACTCCTGGGACCTGGGCTTAAATCTACGTTAATATCATCAACAAACAGAGTTTGCTGGCCTCTCTTTAGCATTAAAAAGTGCAGTTTCCATATCAAACAAACAATACATAGCAAAGCACAATTGGTAGTCCCTATTCAGGAAAGGATCAGGGCTTAGCCATTCCAGAGGCTGAACTGCACACCCTGAAAAAAGGATCCCTTTAGATACTGGTAAGGCAAAACTGAGAAGCTTAAATTAGAGCTGCCCATTACTGTATCTTGGCTGTATCACAGGAGGACTTCAGTTTCCATCGCTGTCAGTCCTTTAAGTCTTGGTGTAATTTTTTTTTTTTTTTATAGAAAGTAGGCCAAGTAGTAAAAAAGTGTTTACAAATAACATAAAAAATACTTACAATCTAGAATTGCAACCAATTTATAATGATGTAAAATATAAGAACCTATATGAAGACAGACAATATCATATTATATACAGTTAACAGAAAAAAAATAACTTTAAAATGTAACTGGGTAAAGCTAGAATTCTGGAGTGAAAACAATGATTTGCCAGATTCAGAGTTAGTTTTTGTAAATGTAACTAACAGAACTAACAACAAGGAGCTTCATTAAGCATAAGCTCTGCAAAATGTGAAAGACAAAGAATGAGAAAAGTGTGAGCAAACAAGAAATGATAAAACAAGGAAGGAAAAAGAAAGCTGTAGGTTTGAGGTATTCAAAACAAATGTAGAAAATCCCCAAGTATACAGTATTTAATTCTGGAGCAAGAAAAAATTCCATTTTAACATACATCTTCTCCATATTCCTTATTTTCAAACATATGAACACAGTCATTCACAATGGTTTGTAGTATTTCTTGATTATGATCAATGCACTTCCGAATCTTGTCAAGGTGAGGGAGAAATTGAGGAAGAAGACTCTGCTGGTTAGCTGGGAGAGACTTAAACTGTCTCTCTGTTCTGTTCACTCGTTCATGCATATTCGTTCTAAAAAGCAAAAGTTTCACATATTTAGAAGCAATATACAGACATGTAAATAGTTCATTCCAAGCTACTCCAATTATTCTTTTTCTTTATACACAGAAAGTGAAAGTTTTCTGAAATTTTTTTAGGCAAAAATTCTTTTAAGCTCTAGTTCTACCTCACCACTATTTAACACATTCCAGTTTCAGAGGACTATCCTTTCCTCCTTACTCTTTCATCCTCAGCCACTCATTTCCAGAGCAGGTGCTCACTACCTTAACACACAGATCTATAAAATTTAACAATCAACCATCTTCCAAGTTTGTTTCACAACAATTTAAATTGAATTAATTTGACTGCAGTGGTAAGCTTCCATCACAGAAATAACAAGATGTGGTGTGGGAATTGGGATCCTCAAAATCCATTGCTTTCAGGAGAACTGTCAAAGTCTCAACTGGACCATACCAGAGTTCTGGCAGCCTCACTAAGATACTAAGCTACCTTCTTTTAACAGCATATTCCTCATAATTACTGTGAACATGATCATGTGACTGATGCAAGCTAAAAATAATTTTCCACTTCCCCAGGATAAAAATTTTATAAAAATGGTGACTCCTCTGAGATTTTGCTAGATTTGATTTCTGTCTAAACTGACAGAAGTATAGTAACAAAACACAGTCATGATAACTCTAGAGAGATAGTTCAACATGAGATACTGACCCTTTTGACCACCAAGTGATTTTAGCCGTTCAAGTTATACTGAAGTTTCCCAAATCCTGTGTCAGCATACAGCAGCACAAAGCTGAAAAAACTAGCCATTATGAGAGACAGCTGCAATTGCTGGCGTTTTAGTTACAACTTCACTCTGGAAATTTGACCAGGTAACATCTCATTCACATGTTACTGAGAAGGGCTTGTTCACTGCAATAGCTACACTGGTTTAAAATTACATTCAAGACAAGAAACAGAAAAAAAACAAGAGAAAAAATAAACTGATGCTCTACATAAAGCACATCAGCTTAGCTCAAAAACATCTTCCTGAAATTTTATCAGCAAAAAAAACCAACTCTGAACCTTATTCTCCATCCTTTTATGCTAAATTAGAACCATCCAGCAGAATGAGTAACTGAAATCAGAAAAAATGCATGTAATGAAATTACGTAATTTTATGTCTAGAAAACAAGAATAAGATCTGGACTTATTTGAGAGTATATTACTGTCTTATTCAAACAGATGTTTGTTTCCAAGTTAACTGGAAATATCCATATGAGGATACAAAAATTCCATTTATTAAATACCAAGATAGGTAATTTCGCCTAAATTTAGACTTATTTCTTTGAGACAGAGGTAATTTCATTGAATTTCTACACTGGAAACCTGAATCACATCCTTTTCTTATGTTTTTACTGAAACAAGTATTCAAAAGCAACCCAAAGCCACAGTTCAGCAGAAAGCTAAGAAAGATATTCCCAGCTTCTAAGGCCTGAGGGTGCAATTATACCCTAATATAAATAAATTACAGGTCGGAATTGCAATCGGTATTAGATACTTTTGACTAACTAGGTCTTCGATCCGTCCATACTGAATTAAGAGAGTTCACTTTGGAAGAGACATCAAAAGGCCATTCAGACCAACCTCCTGCTCAAACACTTGTCCAGGAAGACAAATGAAACTTACACGGACAAACCTCAAACATAAGAAATTATGTAAGAATCACCTTCTCCTACCAAGAACCTCACTACCATGTACCTATTATGCCTGTGCTACATTGACAAAAAAAGGGTCCAGCACACAGCATGATGGGGCTTCCTTAGCTGAAGTACAAATCTGCTTCCCAAATCTATAAACAGGAAACGGTTTACCAAAACACTTTTCCTGGCTGGACTTTTTCAGGCAGGCTCCACTACCTTGCAATGGGAGTTAACTTGCTTCCTCGTCTACCAAACGGATTCAGTCCTAAAACAAGGTGTCCCCACCACCGCCGGCTCGTTTCTACAGAGCCAGCAAATTCTGACTCAACAGATATTATTAAAAACGGCATCCATAATCCCTAGCAATAGGTCTTATCTCCTCTGCAAAGTAAAATGTCTTTCAAGAATTGCCATCCATAATCGAAACACCATTCTGCATTTCTTTGCCAGCAGGAGATATTGTTTTGTAGGCTGAACAGCATCTCCGAGCATTTTATCTCCTAAGACGCCTCAAGACACTCTTTTCAGGTTTGATACTTTCTTTCATGCTTTCTAATAGACAGATACCAAGGCGACTTTGCGCGTATCCCGAAAGGAAAGTGGTGCAGAATCCCAGTGCCGACTCGGGGCTCCGCTGCGCGCGGAGCGCAGAGCGGAGGCGGCCGCACCAGGCTCACCAAGAGCGAGCGCCGCGCTCCGGGGGCCGCGAACCCTGCGGCGAGCGGAGGGAGCCCCGCAGGGCCGCACGCCCAGGGGCAGGCCTCAATTACCCGTAATATCGGAAAGCGTTGATGATCCTCCGAAAATGCTCCCTCTCCAGACGTTCCTCCTCCTCCACCGCCCTGGCCGACGCCGTCGTCAGCGCCCTCGGCTCTAAAAGCTGCCGCCTCCACCGCTCGTCGCCCAGCGGTGCCGCCCGCTCCGCCTCGGCCTCCGCGCCCATGCCGCTCGTGCTCTCTCCCGGCCACGGCAGCTGCTCCCGCTCCTCCTCTCTGCCTCGCCGCAGCCCCCTGCGCATCACCTTGGCGCGCGGCTCCCTCTCGCCCTGGGGACGCGGCCTTGGTAGCGGCGCTTTCCGGGACACGGCGCACGTGGCCGACATCCCCCGCGCCCTCCAGCGCCCGCGGGCACGGCCGGCGCGCGCGCGCGCCGCAGCCCTTCCGGCGCGCGCCGTCAACCCCGCGCAGGAGGGTATCGCGAGAGCGGGGCGGGCACGCGCATGCGCATTCAGCAGGCGGGGACCAGCGATCTCGCGCCGGTGCCCCCGGGATCGGGAGCCGCTCCCTGGCAGAGCGGTGCGCGCTCCCGAGCCGGCTGCCATCGCAGGGGACACGGTGCCCGGCCCCGCTGTGTGAAGCGGCACGGCGGGGTCGCCCGACGGCGGCAATAGTGCGGACGCACCTCGGGCGTGCCGGGGAGGACGCGCAGCTGCCGGGCTCCTCGGGGGTGCGCAGGCACAGGAGGCGCCGGCTCAGCGCTCAAAGCACAGCCCGCCGCCGGCCGCCGCTCCGCGCTGGGCTCAGGCGTACGTGCGACCCCGCTGGCAGGCAGCCCGGGCAGCGAGGTCACTGCTGACAAGAGGCACTACTTCCCACTCTGCACCAGACTGAAGACGGATCATGTTTCCTGATGACGGAGGATGGGCAAGGACTAACTCTGCGGAGGGAAAAGCAAAGTGTCTAACCTTACGAAGTGAGTCACTGAATACTACATTTCCTCCCACAACAGACTTTGCCCTGGATGATGGGCACATCCTGCTCCATCTGACAAAACTTGTCTGACCAGGTGCAGACACCATGTCATGCAGCAAGTCCCACCATACACCTTTGCACCGTGCTTTGAGAAGAGGTGACTTATACAAGACTGCCTCATTTGTAAGGCCCATCCCCTCAGCCTTAAAACCTAAAGAGCACTACCATACCCCTTCTGTCTGTCTAAAGATGGGGCAGCCACTTAATAATCCAAGTAAAGTAGCAGGAATAGGAAAGGGTTTTGGCACACTAACTTCCTCTCTGTGGAAGCAGGAGCATCAGCTTCCTAAAATAAACTTTCACTTTACTCTCACACTGCTCCTGCTCTCTTGTAACTACAGTAACTGACCAGGCTGTGAATGGACGCTGGACACTGTGTTCAGTGGCAAGGCCAGAGAGAAACCAAAGACATACCCAGTTTGATGGACAGAAGAGTCATTGATCCCAAGTGGGTATGTACATTAGGAAGCACCTTGTATGTGACAAAGCCAACATCTGAATCAATGATACATAGTCCAAAACAGAAATTCAGCTTTTAGACTTCGAAGGTTAGAGTAAGAGTCATAAGCTCTGAGAAATAAATAATTTGTTCCTACATCAGTGTTTATGACTAGTCATATTCTGTTATTTTAACATCAGAAAATCACCTTCTAAATATCATACTAATTATATAACTGTATTTCTGTCCTTATATAAAATCCATTAGCCTTTTATTGAACACCACCACCTCTATTGCCGCACATTTTTGAATACACACCAGACTCTGAGCAAAGCTTTCTCTTACTTGTGGCAGCCTGAAATTGCTGCTACCAGATGACACCACTTCCAGAAAGTTATCTATTCTTCACTAAAGAACCACAGGCTTCTGTCATGCATTTCTCCCCAACCATTTCACAGCTACCACAGCCCTGGCAATGCAAAGGCATTCACCAAGAGCAAGCTAGAAAAAAAAAATTCTGTCAAGGTCTGTACCACCTTCAAACCAAAAGCATTCTGCCAACATGCCAAGTAACAGGCCAACTCTGTAAGCTTTTATAATAGCACCTGAAATACTTTATCTACCAAACAGACTCAGAAGAGTTCATTACCTCCTGTGGCTGAGTTGCTGCAGCAACTGGCAAGAACGCACAATTTAAGCACACCAGGTGAGCCTGGACAGTTTCTATATCCATGCTATAGCACTGCTTCCTTCTTTTACTACTTCTTATGGGTGAAGTGTCAATGAATTTTCTGGATTTCTTTTGAAGGCTGGCAGTGTCCGCCACCTTTGGCATTACATCTCAGAAGGTCAGTGTCTGCTGCATAAAGTGTCACCTCTACCTGTGCAGCGGCGGCTGACCTTTAGGTATGTCCCGGCTAGCTGTGGCCAGCACCGCCAGCAGCCCGGGGGCACTCTCCCGATCCGGGGCTCGGTCAGGGGAGCGCCTAAGGCTTTCGCCTTAAGGGACGAGGATCCGCGGCTGAGAGAGAGTTAAAGGGCTGCCAACCCACAGGAGGAGAAAGAAGAGACGGACTCCAGAGGTGGTGCAATCCGGGTTTAATGCCCAGGGGAGCCACAAGCTGGACACTCCCCCAACTGGGCTCCGACCGGGGTTTTTAAAGCGGGGCGGATACAGAGAACAAGGGTGGTCTCCAGCAAATCACATAAAAGGTGGGAGTGGTGGGAGGATAATAGGCATGTAGGAAAACCAATGGGGGAAGAACAGGGGAGGAGTCCTGGCCCCTGATCCAATCATTCGATGCCCTGGGTGGAAGATTCTAGATAGAAGGGCTGGGGCACCGAGTGACAGACAGGGAACCAGGGAGGGACTGAGGGAATTGATACAAAGGTTGCTAGGGGTAACAGGGAGGGGAGAGGTGACAGACAGGGCGATCAAGGAGAGAGAGCCAGGGCAGAACCATTACAACTTACGGGGGTACAAGGAACAAACCAAATCAGCATATAATATAACAAAACACAATACAACATACCTGCATGAAATATTACCTTAATATAAATTGGTCAATCTGTTTCAAATGAGAAAGTGCCCTCCAGACTAGTATTTGTAAAATTTGGTGAATACTAGTTCTGTAGCCACTTGACTCACAGCTTTCAGCATGTTGTAAACCATGGCCCATTTTCCCTTGGTCTCCTCCACAGTGAGTGGTCCCACCATTTGCAGTCTCTTCTTGCAAAGCAGCTTCTCCATTCCCTTAAAATTTAGTTGCCCTTCTTTTAAGTCCACTATGGATTCCCTCCAAATGTAGAAACCAGAACTGCCCAGCTCTTAAAACACGGGTCCACTGGTCTTACACAGGAGCCAAGTAAGACCACGTTTTGTTTGCAAAAATAAAATAAAAAATTAAGAAAAAAACAATTTGATGAAGCTCCAAACTGTGGCATGATTATGGAAGAGCTGTTAAAGATCTATGCCCTGAGCTCTTATTACAAGTTGCTGAAGCACAAGTTCAGTAACATGTATATTCCAATGATTTACACCACAAATGTATAGATCTGTATTGGAGCTCATCTATAATTTTTCCCTATAGGAGGATCTGACAAAACTGATCTTGCCTCAGCACCAATGTTGGACTACTTGAGAATAAAGTCAGGTGATACCATTGTTCATTCCATTCCCTCTTCTGAATCGCCACACAGAGCAGTTGGAAGACTGTCCCTGTGGGAGGGACCCTCTCAAGCACTCTCCCCACTCTCAAGCAGCAGAAGTCTGTGAAGAGGAAGGAGCAACATAATCCCCATCTGCCTGTGCTGCTGGGAGACAGGGGGTAGGGAGTTCCTGCAGGAAGCCAAGCCCAGGCAGAAGGGAGGGGTAGGGGGAAGGTGTGTTGAGAGCTTTGTAACAAGCTGGCACCTGGATAAGGGCCACGGCCAGATTAATCTGCCTGAGATACAAACAGGAGAAATGTAGAGGATTTTGTAGAGAGTTAGCTAGCTAACAAAGATCATGCTGGAAGCAAGAAGGAGACGAGGATAAAAGCGGCAAGGTCACTGTGCCCTTGCCGAAACTTGAGGTTGTGGGAGAAGCTCGTTAGCTAGCAAGAATGAAGGAACGATAGTAGAAACCATAACAAGGTGAACACAAGAATGTAAACGTAGACGTAGTTGACTGATAAATGACTAACCAATGATGAGCTCAATTTTTGCAATATGCATTAGCCTTATTAACACTGCTATAAATGTGTGTGCCTATTCAATAAACTTTTGAGGCTTGTTGTTCATCATCTGGTGTGCAAGTCTTCCTTCTCCATCAAAGGTGTTTTATGATTTGTTCTTAATTCTCATTATGTCTGATTTTATTGTCAGTAAATTCAAATAATTTCCCAAAACCACGTCTGTTTGGACTGCATGTGAGTAACTGCTGAATGGTTTTCCTGTCCTTATCTCCATGCATGAGTCAAGATGCAAATCCATTGCATTTTTTCCCCTTCTGTTGAGGAGGGGCAAATAATAGAGCAGTTTTGGTGGCTAGACAAGATCAGTCCACCACAACCATTCCACGCATTAGCTAATCTCTTGCAATTGTACCCTTTGCAAAGGGAAATAAAAACAAAAATTCAGTTTAAAATCAGACAGTCCATCACAGCACATGAGCAAATGCAAGATGAAGAATTTTTAGTGCAAAATAATAATACAAAATTATATTTGGAAGCACTTTGTTTTAAACACAGCTAAACACAGCTGTAATCTGATGACATCTTTTTCTTATACATAGATTTAGGACTTTTACTATAAAGTACTACATTTCAATCACTGACCAGTTCAGCTGTCACATATCAAGTAATAATATCCATCCTTTCCTTTCCATGTCTATAGTTTTATTTTTATTTTGGCTCATAAAAATGTAACCTATTGTCTAGAAAATATAAGAGTTAAGACATTACTTATTCAGCAACAAAATATGATACAATTTCCTAGTTTGCATAAATATACATACACAAATTCTGTAACACATTTGTCTGGCAGTCCTGCTTTCTGAACATTCCATTCACAACATTTCAGTTTCATTTCACTTTCAATGTGAGTTACAAATATTAATAACAATTATTTCTTCCTTCCTGTCTGAAGCATGGATTTATTATCTAGTGGTCTGTGCCATCCTAGTCAATCTCTGCACAATATATGTACCATATCTTATTAATGATGCATCTCCATTCTCTACATCTTATTTCCCCATCTTTCTCCAACAATCTGTGTCCTCTTCAGGTTTGTTTTCATTTTCTTAACACCTATTCACAACTACTCTAAAGAATACACAACACAAAAATTACAGTGCAAACACTAGAGAGGTGTTGCTTAGCTGTGATGTATTCAGTTACTGAATAAGCAGCATAACAACTTACATAAACTTACACAACTTACACAGCTCGTTTTTCTTGAGCATGTTTATCAGTGATAACAAGCTCCTAAGAACATCAGAGGTAATATCACTGTCATTCCTATATGATCATTTCAAATTGCAATCATCCATGTTCAAATGTGCTTATTAAACCAACAGAAGTGCATCTTTATGGTTTAGTTTTATGCACAAAATCTTCATGTTCTTTAAAATATACACATTGAATCAGATTTAAAGCTCAGCCAAGGCGGGATTGATTAAAGGAAATTTAAAGAATGCACTGTTTATATTCCTAAATGGAGTCTGTCTCCATACCAGAGAGAGTTAATAATTACTTACAAAATCTCTTGTGTTATATGAAGTAGCATTACAGTCATAGACACAGCATTTGCTCAGTTGGTTGGCTTGCCATGTATGACAGTCTTGGTGTTTTCAACTCATATCAAATGGAACCCAGGCTTTCTACATTGTCACGATGTGACCTGCTGATCTAAAATAAATACGAAGTACATATCTAATCTGCAGTGTTTGCAAGCGACATCACAGTATATTAGTGATAATATAATTCCACTAACACATTTGTTTTCATTGATGTTTTATCCCATATTCTCTCTCTTCCATGTTTTTTATTATTATTTTATCTTTAAGTAATAATGGATTCTACTATGATCTTAGAACATCCCATTTCAAGGAACTCACAGTTTTAACTGAAACTGACTCAGAGTAATGACCAAACATGGTATTGTAGCACGTAAAGAAATACAGGTCTCTATAATTCTTGTAGTACTTTCAAATAAAAGTATTAGCTTTTCGATAACATAGAATAGGACACATAGATTCAATTTCCAGTAACATTACTTACTTTCTTCCCTCAGCTTGTTTAATTCCTGTATTATATCACTATACACATAGGATAAAAGCTCCTCTTGGGATTTTGTTCCATCCAAGTAATCTGAGGAAGAAAAAAGAAGAAGTGTTCATGAGTTCAATGCCAGCTACCTGTAATGGCAGTTGGCTAAGTTTTCAGTATTCCTACAGATGCCATCAGAAAAGTAGAAAAAAATAAAAACCAAGAACAGGACCTCCCATTTTCCTCTTCCCCAAACTGGTTTTACATGTTAAAAAAAAAAAAAGAAAAAAAAACCCAACATAATGGAAAATAATTCTAGTTAATAATTCATTTACAATTTTTTGTGGTACAGAAGTCTCCATAAGCGTAATGGTAATTATGTGAGGACAGTGAAGCAATGGAATAATTTGGCAAAAAGTTCTCTGTACAGTAGATAATTTCAGGTTCCTCAGTTTCAGCTTTTGAGCAAGTTCCGGAAGAGCACTGCAGTTCTTATTCTTACTGCACAGCAAGAAGCAGTGTGCTAATGATGAAGAGGCCACCTAACTTCCCTTTCTTCCCTCTGGCTCCACTTCAGAAACAACTAGTCCAAGAGCTGTGTAAGTGTGAACATCACACAAACTTGTGGCACTGCCCCAGCAGCTGGCCCAGCTTTGACACTTCTCATGCAAAACTGGTGACTGTAGTGTGGACAGTCAGCACCTAGAAATTATCTTCAGCTTATTATAAGACTTCACCAGGATTTCAGTTTTGTTCTGAAGAACTCTGCCAGTGCATCAGCTATCATCTCAGAAGTTTCCTAATTAGACATAAGTGTGTTATCTTAACAAGTTATCTTGTTAAGTGGACTTAATTAGTGATCAGAACATTTCTACTGTTTAACTTCCTTTTCATTATTAAAAAATAAAATAACAAAAATAAAATCCCTGTAGGCTTGAATTATAAACTAACAGAAACATCAAAACCTACCAAGTGCCACAAAAACATTTGAAGAAAATTTTGTCCCATTAAAAAAGAAATCCCACAATTCAACAAAAACTGCACAAGTTCCACACTTAAGCATTTTATAAGTTTAAAATTAATGATACCATACCAACTTGCATACTTGCATTCTGTTCCAATTCACTTTTATATTTCAAATACATAGGCCACACGTGTCCATCGAAGTACCCTGGTGTATCTGCTGGCTGATAGACTCTGGTGCTACACAAAAATACATATGCATTCCCAAATCAATTTTAAATTTTCCCCTAGTGTCAGCTCATTAAATAGCAGCTTTCATCCAAAGTGAAAAGAAAGGCTGGCTGTATTTTTGTTGGAGCCACGGAGGCTCCTTTGCTTTAATTCAATCTGTGACAAGAATTTCTGCTGTCATTTGCTATCTTACGTCTCTCTGCCAATCAAACTACATTTAAGATAAGGTGAAAGTTTGGTGGTTTTAATTTTGTAAAAGGTATTGCAGGTAACTTAAACTGTACTGACACTACTACCAAAATAAGCTACTTTTTGTCTATTTACTTGGTATACAGATTTCTCAAGCATTAAATGACTACTTGTTTAGTCTAAACTCTTCCATTCTGGACACTAAAGTCTTAGGTGAGTGTAGTAAGAAACCAAGAAAGTGGTATCACGCACAGCCAGTTGAACAGAAGATTTCTTCACTCAGCCAGCAGATTCTGACTTCGTGCACATTCATTATTCCAAGCACACAGTATTGCCTCAGATTTAGAGCCAAGTCAGACACTGGCTCAATAATCCAGTTTAGATCCACAGTAAAATTAATGGATAGTCTAAACAAAACCATACACTTAACCCACACATGAACATCCTTACTCTAAGAATAATCATCAATTAACTGTATTTAACCAAGAATAAGAGTGCTTAGTATTTTTTAAACCATTTCTCATTTTAAACATAGTTTTATTCAACTATGCAGTTGGGAATTAAATAATTTATCAGGACAACAAATTATCTTTTTAGTGTTTGTAAAGCACTTAACACTTTAATAACCATGTGCTCTAAAATAAAAGCCAAACCAAACAAACCTCAAACTAACAAACAGAGGATAGATTATCTTAATTGCTTACATTTTGCAAGCACTGAAGAAAAGCTCGTATAAAAGGACCACTTCAGTTCAGGGGGTGCAGTGACTCTTTTTAAACAAGAAGACAATAATCTTACCTCCTTCTCCTTTTGCACTCTTCATAAGGAAGGGTCAAAAAATATCTTCTATTCCATAGTTCATTAAGTGGCCTAAGATAATAACATATTTAGTTCCCTCTTCCATTTTAGGGTAGCTTTTTATTTACCAGGTTACATATTACTGCTTACTCATAATTGTAAAGGAGAAAGCCTTCAACAATCAAAATATAAACATTTTTCAGACTGTCACATGTATTCTCTGGCTCTTCTGTCACAAAACCTGAGCTTGCTGGGCTTTTCATCCAATTGCGAATACTTGTCACCATTTCATCCATATAGAGGGCATCAAGTACTAGATGAAAACAAAGTTAAACATCCCTTAAAAACAAAGAATAAAAAAGAAAAAAAGAACCTTTAAGTATCCCTACGTTAATCAGTAAGAATCAATAATCTACATACAAATTTAAACAAAGGGGAACGGGATTACCCCAAAGATAATATACACAGTTCTGTCCTTGCTATAGATTATTTCCTGAAACCAAAGCTTGCTCTAGGATTGGGGAATTTCTGTTGGGTGTAGAGTCTCTCTGAACTTTATGGCATCTAATATTGTCTGAACTGAATTCACAGCTTTTCACTTCATGACAGAAACTTCAGGGACTGCTCTCCGCTTTCAGAAAACTTGTAAAAATTTATTAATCCTGACACCTCCACCATTTTGTCAGTTTTGTCAGAGGCGGGAGTAGAAGCTCAACATTTTTTGCTTTGGGTTTTTATAAGATTCATCAGTTTGGCATAGAGAGAGTTAAAGGACCATGGTGTACAAAGCAAAACAGCACAATGGAACACCTGTTTTTGTCTGTAGACACACAAGAATATACTGAGGAAATACTGAAAGGTAGAAATAAGGTAGCTTTTGGATACCATAACAGCAAACACATTTTTAAAGAGCTTTTAAGAGCAGCATTAAACCTGGATATTTGAATAAGAATGTCCATTTTATCCCTCCAGTTTCAAATTCCATTTACATGGCGTCTAGAAGTTGAGCCAAAGATTGCATAGCTGGTAATGACCAGTTTTCAGATGCAACTGAAGGGTCTGACCAATATTCTCAGCAATACATTTTGTGATCACAAAGTACTAACAGAGATTAGCTATTAACCAAGAAACTGTTTACAAGTAGATATGACCTGACACAAAACACTGCCCTAAAGTGGATCTGGATCTAGACGTCTCGAAGAATAAACTGAGCCAGCATTTATCATGGATTTAAAAATATATGCCCTTTATGTGAGATCTGACATTAAATAAAGGTGTCAGGATAAACCCAAGTTTTGACTGACTTGGAAAACCCAATATGATATCCCATGAGCTCACCAGCAAAAGTAGAAAAAAAAAAAAGGCCATTACCAAGTAATGAGATTAAGCTTATGCCAGTACTGCAAGCCAAGACTTCTAACTGAATAGTACCATTTGCTACTAAACCAGACACAAATGAAGAAACAGAGAAAAAAACTCAAACGAGGAAAGGAAAGATCAATCCTAGCTTGAGCTACTTACTTGTTAAGCAAGTTTTCTTAAGTATCTCAGTGAGCTGAAGAAAATTAAGAGGATTGCTCTGAAACAGCCTCCTGTTTACTGCTTTGGAAGGGAACAGAGCGAGGGGATGGGGTGGCAGAAGTGTTGAAGCTCAGCACAACAATTTCAGCACAATGTTCAAAAGCAGTGCATCAGAGTTACTGACCATCATATAGCTTAAATCCACGTTCATCTGTTTCTACTTCAGACTCTGGCTGAAGGGGAAAAAAATTTCATTTTTTCAAGGTTGCTTTTATGACCATGCTGAGAGATACATACTCTGTTTATAAACATAGAGTTTATAAACTCTATGTTTATAAATGTAAGGGTTATACACTTTTGTATCCAATTAGTTAAATTTATCTTCAACATTAAACTGATGTAAACAACTGTTAAAATACACTACAAAAACTTTATTTAATCTAGAACAACAAACACTCCAAATCATATTACTTAAATTCATTAGAGCTTTACTTGAGAAAAATGTGTGTCAAAACACAAGCTGTTTTTCTGTTTTGACTTGGGAGACAAAGAACTACTTATTGTTGTATGGGTGTAGGCTTAAGACAGTATGATTAAACTCATTAGCACAAAGGATCTTGAAAAATGCATCCACCATATACTCATGCCTTATTTTAAAAGAATGGTAAAAAAGACAGGAAATTTCTTTCAGCTAAGTATATTCAGGAGTTTGGCCACTTAAATTTCAGTTACCCCAGTGCTCATTTTATAATTCTTATAAAATTAACATTAAGCAGCATCAATTTTAAAAATTCACCAATAGAAGAACTGAAAAAATAATTTAAATCTACTCAAGCCTATTTTTACCTATCAGGTTTTTCCATTAAAACTGTTACCTTAAAGAAGTCGTCTTGAGAGATTGTATCACAGTTGGGAAGCATATTCTTAAGTTTTTCTGCTAGTGTTGTTTTTCCTCCATTTGTTACACTGTTAAAAAACATTGCAAAAAGTCCACTAAGGCAAAAACTAATCTTTTAAACATATGTACAAGCTCAAACATACATTTCTGTATAGTTATATGCAAATAAACAATACAACTTCCCCAAACTTTTAGTCACATTAAATACTCTCTACCTCTAGAAACTTTCTGGCATGTTCCATCAGTTTTCAAAAATCAGTACAGTAAATCAAGCAGTGCCAAGAAAGATGCTATAGACACCTGCACCTGAGGTCTCCAACTGACACAGAACAATTTCTTAAGAGTTACATGCTATAAAACTATGCAATTATAAGTTGCATTTGTAACTCAGTTTTAAAAAAATATGTATTCAGAAATAGAAATTACTTCATATCATTCTGAGAAGAACACTAGTCTTAAGCTGTAGAGGAAATTTAATTTTGTATAACTTACCCCCCAAGGCCAATAACCAATACTTTCATAGTTTGTTTTCTCCTCAGTTCTTCCTTTTTACTGTCAAAAACAACAGCCAGTGAAAAATCTTAATTTCAGAAACAAGAAGGCAACTATGGTATTAAGAAATACCAATTATACAGTTAATTTATTTTCTCTCTGCTGTCTATCATTTCTCTTTTTGCAAAGGTACAGTCAGAATCTCAGTTGCTTGTTCTAATGCTAAGAAAAAATCTGCAGTATATATGCCCCATCTTAAATTCAACGTACTTTAATTCTGACAGTATTTTAATACTTCGAAAGGAACTCTGGGAGACTTGATTCTAACAATGTTAACATCATGCAAGTTCCTAAAGAAAAGCACAATCACTAGCTCAAGCATTAACAGTATAAAAAAGATTAGGTAAACAGAAGCTGTGGTGGCAAAACAAAATCATTGAGAAAGAAACAAGTGGCATGCTGAGGAGAAAGACATTTTAAAATCTCAAGAAGACTTGTAACAAAGAGTATGTTCAAAAACTCTATTATGAGCCTGGTCTCAGGCTCAATGTAATATTCACTGTTATTCACCACTCCCTTTCTGAGAGTTTTAAGATCACAGACCACACAAATCCTCCTCCTATGGCCCACCACAGATCAATCTGGAAGAATTAAAACTACTGCAAGGGCAGTTTAAGCCATCCTAGCTGATTTAGCATTGAGAAGTACTACGTAGCACTTGATTTTCCCCTGAAAAGATCGAAGAGTAAACTCTAAAGGTTAATTTGTCCACCATTTCCCTGCTGCTTCCACCATATCCCACTAACTCTGAGGCTCTGACTGCCTGAACACCTTCAGTAGTCAGAGCTGCCAGGAAACACAATTACTGCCTTGTCCCAGCTCCTTCCCCTGAACTTTCTTCTGGAATGGGTGTTTGCAGAGTGCATAGTGAAGTATCCTGGAAAAATACTGCAGCTGAAAAACAGTTCTGCAAAAGACAGGGGAAACAATGTTTGTTTTCAGTTTCACACATCAATTTATAACTATTTACCCACATGCAAACACCCCTTTTTTCATCTGCTCTAACCTCCTAGGTCATGCTTAAGAAGGTAAGAACTATGACACCTAAGACCTGAAAGAACTGAGCAGGTAAAACTCTCCCTGCCTCCAACAAACAAGTATCTGTACTGTACTAGGAAAAAGACTGTTACAGGGCATCAGTATGAAAAAAAAAAAAAAATAACCCGCACTGTTTCTGTGAAAGGAAGTTTAGACACGTGTGGAGCCTGAAATAATATCCTCTTGCATTTGGTGCAATGACTGGAAGTTCCACTGTTTCACATATCTGTGATATGATCTTTGCATGCTTTTTAATGTATGGCTATGTTAAAAAACAAAAAGCAACAAAAGACATATCGACTAGTCCAAGCCATCACCCGTATGATAGCCATTGCTTTGCAATGGTGCTGCTTATCTGCAGCTGCAGATAAGCAATGCAGCAATGGTGCTGCAGTAGTTGGCATCTGTGAGTTTTTTAAGTTAGTGCACATTGTTTTTCTAGGAATATTAAAATTTTCAAATTCAGTGATGCATTGAATGCTCATAGTACAGGCTATCAATGCAAAGAGGGAAGATGGATAATTTTTTCTTAAGAAGTGATGATACTCAGGGTATTTTAAAAATAAGATTTAAAAGCTCATTTCTAAAAGTCATCAGTAAGGTTTGTGTTGCAGAGGATTACCCTTTGTCCCACAAAGGGTGTTACACAACAAATCGGACAAACACGTTCACCTTTGGACTTTAATTTATGTCATCGTCTATATGCAAATTAATCCCAGTCTGCGGCAAAAAATACCATCATAAAAAAACACACCAACTCTTCTGCCGCCCTGAGTAACGTGTAAAACAAATTTCAAAAGCAATTTTGTCACAAATGCTGCAAAACAGAAACCATACACTACTCTAGCTTGGGTCAATTTGTCTCTTTAAGCAGAGCACAAACCCCATGGCAGCGCTAGCACATCACTGCCGTCACCCCATTTTTAAGGGCATACCGCGGCAACGCTGCCCCGCACGGGGCCACCCGAAGGCGCACCGGGAACGTCTCTCACAGCTATGGGCCCACACAGCGAGGCTGCCGGCGGTTCTCGGCCGCGCCTCCGCCAGCTGAAGTTCCAACGCTCCAGCACCTCCGGAGTTCGCACTTCACTCCAAGCACGCCGCGAGGGTGCCAGCAACACGTCCCTCCGCCAGCAAGGCTCCGCGCCGGCGGAGCGCCCGCCTCCTACGTCCTGTCACGGAGCTGCGCGGGCCGTGCCCGCCTCCGAGCCGGAGCGGTCCCGCGCACACGACGCCCCAGCCGACTTCCAGGAAACAGCCTCCTCGTAGCCCCTCGGGCCGCCCCCATCCCCCGGACCGCTCGGCCCCGGCCCCGCCCGGAGGCGAGCGCTGAGAGGGAAGCGGCAGGGCCTCCTCCCACGGCGCGCTCGCTGATTGGCGGCGTGCCGCCCGGGGTCGGGGCAGCTGCCGCGGCCGGCGGGGGCGGTAGGGACGGGCCAGCGCCCTTCCTCCCGGCTCCTGCCGCGCCGTGCCCGGGGACTGCCGGGGTTCGCACCGCCGCCTCTCACCGCGGCCCCGCGCCCGGGCAGCCGATCGCTGTCGCGCCGCTCCCCCGTCCGTGCTTAGGTCAGCCATGTCTAAGCCGCCACCTAAACCGGCCAAGCCAGGTGAGGGAAGGACAGAGCGGCCTGGCCCGTCCTTGCCGTGCGGGGCGCGACGCAGCCTGCTGCTGCTGATACGTGAACGGCTTGGGTTTCGGGTCTGCGCTCCCAAGCAGCCCGGGCGAGGGTGGGAGCGGGCACAGCCGTCCTTCCGTTCCGGACCGCGCCCTGCCGCCATGAACCTCGGCACCACACGCCTGGGTCGGCGGGGAGGGCTGCCCCTCCCATGGCTGGAAAGCAGCGGGGGCTGCCCTCGGGCACCGTGTCTGGGCCGGCCCCCGCCCGCTGTAGCTCGGGAGAAGGCTGGGGAGTGCCCCAGGTCGGAGCCATCGCCCGGGGACAGGCTCCCCGTGTCACGGGCTTGGCAGAGCCCTCTTGCCCCGGCCTTGCTCGTCTGCAGCGCGGAGCCGCGGTGCCCAGCGATGGCACTTGGCCTGCCCGCTCGGCGGTGGCCGTCCGGGAGCTGCTTGCATAGCCTGAAATGCTCAGGAAGCCTTTTACCCTTCTAAGAAACAGCGCTGAAGTGCTTTGGGGTTGTCTCGTGATTGCATGTATTGGCAATATATTAACGCATAAAATCAGTTTTGTAGTGTAGTCGCATGCAACATTTTTCATCTTTAAAGATGGAATCCACTGTTTTCCCATGTAAGACTCTAACAGCCAAACTCTAAATATGTTCTTTGAAATTCAGGTATCAATATGCACCTGACCCTTTCTAGTGCATTTAGTCCTCAATGTGTAAGGTGTTGCTCCTGTGTTTTTTTCAGAAAAATTTACTGCAAAGCCGATTTTCTAAAAAAAATAATAGTGACCATAGCTTGTTCTAAAAATAAATTGAAAAGCCATTGGAAGTTGCATGGTTTTATATCTTAAAATAGAAGTGGAATTTTTCGGGTAAATATACATTATTCTGTCACAAATTTAACCATTAACTTTAGGGTTTTGCGTTTTTTTAAGTAAGGAACTGATCTGGAAAATTTAATGGCTATTTAATATGTTTTTGTATCATCTGTCAGTGTAAAAGCTTAAATTCGTACTAGAAATTAAAAATCCACTCTCCCAAAACAGAATTATCTGATCCCTAAGTATATCCAAACTTCAGATTTTTTTGCACTTAGAATACTGTTTGAAATGCCAATGTAAAAAAAAGTAATAATAATGTTTAGCCTAATTGAGTGTTTTAACTAGACAGCTTATAAAACAGATTTTTAATTTGAAGTCAAGTAAGTGCAGAAACAAGTTTAGACTATTTAAACCATCAGTCTCATCCTGCCTGCAGAAGCAAAATCTGCTGAAGCTCTCTGGCTGTAATTTCATCCTTAGAAGAATTTCCTCTGCTCTGTAGTTTGCTAAGCTTCTTTGAAAACAGCTTACTTGAAATTAAAAAGACAGTAATAAAAGCATTGCTGTTATGGACCCTTACCAAAAACAATCAGTACAGAGGAAATCTGCAGGCTTCTGAAAGAATGTGGTGTTTCACAGCTGAATATGTATGAAAAATGGGATTTTCCGATGAAGCTCATAGCTGAGTTTTCTGTTTTCCAAGAAGATGAGTCAAATTTAATGTAAGATTCTTAAGGTGTTAGAGGCTGTAGCTCTGCCTGACTTACAGGAGCTCTCAGACTGACTCAGTGTTCTGTCTAATACTAGGTGTCTCTCCCTGGTTTGGTGGGGTGCAGTTTGTGGTGTGCTTGATCTGATAAAATGCAGACTGTCATCAGAAGGACAGGTTCCCTACCCCCACCATTCCTTTCTGTTCCATTTAGTTATGTGACAAGCTGGTGGTGCTCTCAACTTTTTTATATATGGTTATTTGTATGTCTATGTAAGGTTATTTTTATGTCTGATGAACTTGCTGAGCTGGTTTACCAGCATGAGTGCTTGACACAGCAAAAGGAAATTTGTAGGAGAAGGAAGACAAAGAAAGTAAGATTGTCTTGCTAATGACCTTCAGACCTGATTAAGGGTCTGATTAAGATTAATTTTTCCAAATACCTGACTTCTGAGGAGAAAAAATTTTGTGACATCTGTTGTGTCAGATTTTTTCAAAGTAATTTTTCGGAAAAGGATTGCCTTCTAGCATACTTCTAAATATCTCTGTAGTTACATGTCTGACTTCTCTATGTTAATACAGAATACAGATAATACACCTTTGATACTGTGATCGAATTTCTTAGGGTTATAGATAGATGTTATTTAAAGACATAAATATAGGAGCTTCATGTGGTGACACAGTTTCTACAGCAGTGGAAGGCTGTCTCTTTCAGTGGCATTTTGACTGCTTTTGCTAGAATGTCTTGATGCCTTTGGTCAAGCTGTGTTGATTTTTCTTCACTGATTATTAGGTATCAAGTCTTTAAGTTTTGTCAGGACACAGCAAGCCTGCTTGCATTGCTGATGAGTTGCTACAGTTCAGGACAGACAGGAGAGAAAAACAGACAATGGTTGCTGTCATGCATTCCTCTGTGTTTGGGAAATTAGAAATGCAGATTGGACAGAGAAGGAGGGAAATATTTCAGTGGTGGGGAAGTGAAAATATATAGTGAAATAAATTTCCTTTTTAAAACACTGAGTCTTCACTGCTTAACTCAGTGATTTTGGACCTGAGTTTAGTGCTTTAAAAACATGGGGAAAAGAGGTGATATGAAGGGGCAAAACCAACTAGCTGTGACACTGCCATTTTCTTCTGTACATGAGAATATTTTTTCTGACAGACTGCTTTTGTGTAAATCCTGTTGTGTGCACAGCACATAAGGATTTCAATTACATAGAGATTGTTTTGACATCAACATATGACAATTGTGTTTGTGAACACTTGGGCTAGTCTTTTGGGTCTGTAGTCAGCGCTTGGGTAGGGGACAAGATTGTTTATAGAGACTCTAAATTCTTCAGTTTCTTTCAGTGTTTTGAGGCTTTTTAAGAAGTGCTTTGCTTTTCTTGGGTAACTCTGTATTGTAACTGTTTTCTAGCTGTAGTTTTTACTTAGACTCTTTATCAAAAACAAAACGGAATGGAGCAGATGTTGAAAATAGCAGAAACTTTTCTGTCGGCATTATGCAACAGTAGGGTTTCCCCTCCATCTTTTAAGAAATCTGCTGATGTCTCAAGCTACATTATTCTTTGCAGAGTTCGTATCATGTTGGATATTAATCCTGTTTACAAAAGTTGCTTATTAAGTCCTTGGATTTGACAAGCTTTAAGGGCTTCTTCTTAGTTGTCTGTTACTTAAACAGTGTTTTCTTGAAGAGTGCTAACTGTCTGGTGATGTCTTTTTGATTAGAGCCTTATATAGTGTGCAGCAAAAGCTTTTGGGGAGATGAAAGGAGTGTGCTGATATTTTTAAAAAAACCTTACTTTCATGTTCACAGTAAGCTTTGTTGATCCTGGCCTAGAGCTGAGACAACATTTATATTTTATGGAGAAAGACCAGCCTTTGTACCAAGGAAATTAGAGTTTTGAATTACTCCAGTTCAGAGGGAGGCAGGAGGAAATATAAGGATTTAACATAAGGGGTTGCTATCTCAATGCAGTGTTGTTGACTTTCCTCCCGCTAGTAGCTGTCAGAGGTAAAAATAGGGTTCTTGAAATAAATACTTAGTTTGAGTCATAAACAAGTTCACCCCAATTCTAAGGTGAAGTAGGAGCTGTGACAGCATTCACAGGAGCAGAACACTCGTATTGAGTCACATGCCTTGGCAGTCGGCTTAAATTTGAAATAAGTTGTGGTGGTTTGGGCTTCTTCTGTACTCAAAGAAAGGTTTCTGTTAGCTAGGAAGATGTGAGCATGTGGATGTGGGGACATACACTGTAATCATCAGGTCTGAGGGGAGAAAAACATCAGAGAAACAATTAAACAGTTTCTAGTCTGCTTTCAATATGACTTACAAACTTTCATTTCTGACCTCAAATGCTCTTATTACTGCAAGTTGCTGGGACCTCCAGCAAGCTTCCTGCAAGTGAAGGTATGCTGGTATTCATAAAAATAAAATTTATAAGAAACAGAAGATTTCAGCATCAGGCTATGACAGTGACGTTGTGTTCTCTTACATCTTCTGTGAGAATATTTTTCTTCTGATTTTCTGTAATGAAATGACGTTTGTTCCTTCCATTCCAGACCCTGATTAGTGCAGTCCATGATTGTTCCTGGATACCTCAGTTTGTCATCTAGGCTGGTACCAGTCTATCCTTTGCATTTTTTAGTATGCCCTTCCCCTCTCCCCCTACATGTGTTCTCTGTGTTCACTTCCCCTTTCTGGTAAGCGTTACTTAGAAGCTGAAGATGGTTCTCTAAACACTGGGGACTCCACCTTTTTCTGTTTCTGTTGTGGCAGTCCTTAAATGCTATGTTAAACTCTGCTGTGTCTGCAAGCAACATGCAAAGTACAAATGGCACTCCTGTAAAAAGTATTTCCAATACTTCGGTACCTGTTTGGAGACTTGTGTGCAAAGGAAGGAAAAACCTTGTTTTCCAA